GAACCAAAATAGATCTGAGGACATTTAAGGACTGCTTCTGCAAATTACTCTCTGCATGAGAGAGAGGCAAAACAAACCCCTCAGTTCTGAGCATTGTACTGAAACTACTAAATTTAAGACACTTAAGTCAGCCTTTCAGGCTACCACCCACATAGGAAGGTTCAGCTAAAGGTATCCTGATGCAACATCACAGACCACACAAACTGCATGATCAGTTTTCTGCCAGGTTGCAATGCCAATGGTGCTTAGCAACAGTCTTTGGTAGTCTACTGTTTTGTTGTTGTAGCTACAGTAGTTACACAGTATATTGTCCTTTCCCACAGACCCATTTAGCAGAATGGGGCAGTGGGGAGCTGATTGGAAAGCCATATTGGCCAGAGGAAACAGACTTCAAATCCACTGTGTGACAGTGGGCTCCATGCCAACGCCACAGGAAGCAAAGCAGGTGCATGAGTCTGTGTGTCTGTGGTTGTGTGCGAGAGAGACTGCATGCGGAAGCAATGCATGCATACAGTAGTGTTGGAGGTAGAATGTAGTGAGTCACTAGAGTGAGTGGTCTCCTCCATGGCCTGATGGAGCAGTAAGAGGCTCTCATGTGAGACCTGTGTTCAATCTCCCCAGCAGCAGCTCAGCTAGAGCAGTGGAGAGACACTGAAAGGTATGCCGGCACACTGCATAGCTGAGTGTGAGAACATGAGAATGCAGAACAACCTTGAAGGAATAAAAGCTCCTGATTTGCTCCTTTCCTCCCTCTGTCTCACTCCCTCTCTCAATGGGCAAACTTCATCAAATTACCCAAGACAAGGAGGGAGGTGGGGGATGGGTCAGGAGTCAGGAGTCAGGCTTCCAAGACTGCCTTGGGTTCAGCCCACTAACAACGCCACGTGAGGAAGCGAGGGATGGAGGGAGAGAGACACAGAAAAAGAGAGTAGGCGAGGGATGAAGCTTAGGTAAGGGCTTTGAGCAGGTGTGTTATTGGACTGGGTTATGCTTATGCACACTGTATGAGACTCAACCATTTATCCATTGAAGCTTTTGTCTATGTTCAAGAGAAGAGTGGGGTAAGGGGTTGAAACAGCCAGATGGAGACTTCACCACTGAGTGGGATAAGGATTAGTTCTGGCCTCAGAGTTTTTAACAGATTAGGGTTTGCGATGAAGACTAAAGTGCATGCTCTGGAGAATTTGAGTGAGATAACATTGGGATTGTGGAGGGGTCCTTTTGGGGGAGGGATTTGGAATTTACAAACTGATATTCGGTTCCTATCTTAATCATAATATTGTCTATAATGCTGAATAGACCGGAGTCTCTCTGTTTTGTCCAGGGCAAGGTAATACACACACTTGAAAAAGTCATCTCATACCAAGATCAAATTAGTTGTCCACATGGATACATGCCTGTGAGTCAGTGGAGGCTGCTGAGGGGAGGACGGCTCATAATAATGGCTGGAGTTGAGTCAATTGAATGGTATCAAACACCTGGTTCCCATGTGGTTGACACCATTCCATTGACTCCATTGCAGACATTATTATGAGTCGCCCTCCCCTCAGCAGCCTCCACTGCTGTGAGTACGCCTTTAGCATCACCATGACAATGAGCAGCACCAGGACATGTGCGTGCATGTGTACTTTTCTACTCAGCTCTGTGTGTGTGGTACTGATAGTGCAATCATGACAACAGTGTGAAATTCCATCATCCCCAGCTCTTTTTTCTCCTGCTGGATTACATCCATGTACATTTCATGCTTCAAGTGTTATTGTCAGGATAATAGCACAGACAGGACTTTTAGTTCTGGGTTCAACCAGAACCACTGAGGTTTAATAGAAAATACATTAATTTCTATATTTAGACTGACTGTATGCATATGTCCTCAAATAACATGTATATGCCTCTCACTGGCCTTATGCTGTATGGATAAAGAGCAGAGAAAAATGTGTTGTACTTAAGAGAGACATTGGTAATATCTGAGTCAACGACATAACCACTCCTAGTTGAATTAACGTTAAACACAAAATATAATAATGTACCGTATTAGCATATATTACACAATGTCATGTTTTCTACAGACTTTCATGGGTCTTGATAACTGCTTGGACGCTTTAACTCCTGATGAGGAAGAGGATGGGTTGGGCAAGTGTTAACCTCAGCAATGGTGTGAGATGTGAGATGTTGACATCCACAGAGCCAATCTCACACAGATCGGACTAGCCTACATGCTTGTCAGATAGAAGCGAGCCACAGAAAAGCTGTATGTCCCTGAAAGCAGCAGGCAAATGAAAGAGAGAAGAGCTGCTCTGACAGTGTACCTCACCGAATGTCATCAGCAAACTCAGTACTGCTGGTGGGACAGGCCAACAGACAGCCACACAGCAAACATCTGGAGCAGACTATTCAATCAACCCACCAGACCCACGTTACATCATATCAAAGATGTGAGTCAGACAGAGCCCCGTCTTTAAATGAGCAGCCATATTAAAGCTCCCATTGTCACACTCATAGAAAAATGTAATCCTAAAAGGGCAGGAGGAACGGTTTGTTTGGCGAGTGACAATGCAGTTGGCTTCAAGTCAACCATACACATTCATTCCTGTAGACACACAGAAGGTGTCAAAAAGGAGAATGAAAGGGAGGTGTTTTCAAAATGCCAGTAATCTTCAGTGTTGACAGCAGAAGAATGGACATCAAGTTGCCCTCAAAAAGAGGCAGAAAAACAAACATAGGTGGTGTTCCTTAGTCTACAGCCCTACAATGATGTTCACTAATGTTCAGTTTAGGGGAACAAGGCATAATTGGTCAATAACTGGTGATGATGTGGCGCCTCCAAATTGCTTTTTTAAACTCATTCCAAATGGCTTATAAAACTAGAGAGCTTTCGAACCCCATGGTTTCCAATAATCAACCTTGTGGTGTACTTAAAAAAAACAAGTGTGGCTAAAGATTGTAAAAATGAGTCTTATTGAGGCATATTCATGCCATGTTCACAACCTAACTTTTACAACCACTATAAAGCGCGCTTCCATGTACATGTGAAATGTGAAGTAATCACAGTGAGAGAATGGTGCAGGCAGAAGCTCTGCTCAATGTTCCAGAGGCAGCACCTCACAGATCAAAGGCAACTCTCATGTGCCACACTGGGGTTACATTACCCACGTGCCCGAGGCCTAGTCAATGACATTGTGGCTAGCTTATGGTGGAATGCAGTGGTGGGAAAACAAACTTCATGAATAATTCGGCTTTTCCTCTGACTGAGTGCTAAAACGCTACAGAAACATGATAGATCAAACAATGCAATGAGCACCATGAGAATCAAAAACATTTTAGCCTAGGCAGCCGATAGATAGCGCCCACTATCGGCTGCCCAGGCTAATCTAATTTGTGTTGCGTTAGCCACGCATTCCCCTGTCTGTAGCTATTACGTCTTTATTATGAAAAAGCTGTTGTCCAACATTTCTCATCAAATCCGCTATAATGATCCTAGCTAGTATTTCACGTCGATATTGCGTTCCGGGAAGCACTGAACTACCACCAAGCCCGCTTCGTTCTACTGTCTGAGCTCCCTTGCATTCCCTTTGGCAAGTTGGCATCCCTGAAAAAAGGAAACATTATCCCTATCCCAGTATCAATGCAGTTTTTTCTATCATAGATGTGCCATTTCTGCTGTGAATCATAAGCATTTTATTGCAAAACCGTTACTTTAAGTGAGAGCAAAAATTAGCTTGACAGCTCTATCTGCAGACTGATAAGTGACAACATCTAATACAAATATTATGTGAGAATATATGCTATATACACAATAGCACGTTGTTGTTGTTTTGTAAGTGAGAGACATTTGTCTGAGAAGCAAGATATCACAAATCCGTCAACTTACGTGTGGGCACAGCTTGCAATGGTGACAGGTTTATGATACACCTCCAGGCAAATTGGGCACGAGAACTGGCTCTCGAGGCTCTCGCCAGAGGCAGCCGCCGCTGCCCCGTTCTGTTGATGCTGCCTGAGCTGATGAGTTGCCGACACAAAGCTGCGAAACATCGCCATCATGAACGCGGATCTCTGCTCGCACTTCGTTCTCGACTATGGCTGTAACTACCTGGGAGTATTCACATCGAGTATTTACATCGATTGTGCACGATGGACATCCTTCGTGTGAATAATGCGTATGAATAAAGCTACCACGCCTATGTATTGTTTGTGTAAAATAATTTAGCTAACATCAGTCCGCTACACAAGCGCTCGAGAGGACACGCCGAAGCACGAAATAAGTAAACATTACAAGACAGTGCTGGTTGACAAGAGTCGACCAGAGCAGGGCGCTGAACAGATTATTCGATCTTCAAATAATCTTTATTTACAAACAACTGACCAAAATATATCCAGATTATTAAAAGATCAGGGATTTTGCGCAACTGCTAGTTCAGGGCGACTCTCACGAACAAGCAGTACAGCTACAACAAAAAGATTACGTTTCTGGGCATTGAAGTCTAGTTCGCGATTTCACCAACTCAGTTTACAGCTTCTTCAAACTACACTCCCCAGAATACATTGCTTCATTTTGTTGTAAAATGTTTACGCTATTAGAGTTCTAATTTTCTCTTTTAACTATGTGTTGCAATATTGATTAATGTGATATGTTATACATCCACAAAAATAACAGTGTTCCAACTACAAAACGCTCTTCACATGAGTGTGGACAGAATCTCGCTACGTCATCAAAATGCGCGATGTTGTTATTCAAGCGCGAGCCTTTTGACAGCTATAAGAAATAGGCTGAATTAAATACATCTTGAAATAGCTAAATTAATCTAATGAATTTATCTAGCTAAATAGAGTTTCGAAAAACTCTGGTATCTGCTCACATAGTTTTAACTGGCTCGCTGGCAAGCTTGAACCGAAACATTTGTGACAGCTACATTCTGCAATTGTTAGCTAGCTAAAGTTAGCTAGCAAGCTACAAGGAATTAGAGCTCTTCATCACATAGCTAGCTAACTTGTTAAACTCGACCATGTGCCAGGTTGATGAAGAATACAATGGACAGCTAGAACACAGAGTGACCCCACGGTAAACTATTTGCCCATTTAACAGCTAGATTACCCAGTTGCTTTAGCTGCAGTCAAGCTAATGTCCACGTGTAACTGAGTTCAGCTCGCTAGCTAACGTTTAGTTTAGCTACTTATAATTTTATCTGCTGTAGCAACTGCTTCCATCCACTCACAATACATTTTTGATCGCAGGGTCTCCAAGAAATGTGTCAAATGCAAAGAAAATACAGCTGTATTGATCATCCGAGCTGGAGATGCCTTTTGCAGGTAACGTTAATTGAACAGCGTTTTGTAATTAAACAGGAGAGGGTTGTCATCGCAAACTAGATGTATTTGTCTCAAGAACTGACCCCACAGAATTTACAGCAAAAATTAGAAAGTGGTAATTTATACTTAGTTGTGCATTTTTTGCTATCATTGTCAGCACATATGCTCTTTGTAGTTAATAATGAAAAGTAATGTATTTATTTGGGTATGTCTTCTGGCCAGGGGCTGCTTCAAGGAGTACTTCATACACAAGTTCCGGGCCATGCTGGGAAAGAACCGGGTCATATTCCCTGGAGAGAAGGTATTGAATATCCATCTATAGCATTTTTGTAAGGTCTTACATAAATCAAACAACTGAATTGGCATTGTTTCTCTGTTGTAGGTTCTTCTTGCAGTGTCTGGAGGGCCAGCCTCTAGCTCCATGCTGTCACAGGTTCAAGAGGTAGTTGGGTCAATGTTTTTCTAGATGTGTAGTCACACTGTATGTTGCAATTACTGAAATATCACAGGGATGACATTTTAGATGTAACACATTGACAGTTTCTTCAAATTATTAAGGGTTTCAAACTGTCTTTGTTTTGTTTTTCTGAATGAAAATGAACCTTTTTCCTCTCTCAGGGTTTGAGTCGAGACGCACCGAAGAAGTTGAGATTTGTCCCCGGAATTATCTACATAGATGGTAATGCACAGATGATCATCGCTGCTCTTTGGCGCAAAAAAAGTTTTTTTTTGTCAAATAACAGCTTGTTCTGGCCCATTAGACTTGCTCATGTGTGATGATTGTCTATTGCTGTGTCTTGACAGAGGGCGGTGCCTGTGGTCAAAGCATGGAAGAGCGGGAGAGGGCAGTGGCTCAACTGGAGTCTGTTTTCAGAGGCCACTAATTACCATTACCACATAGTCCACCTGGAGCAGGTGAGCTGGGTCAGAAAAATGTTGTTTGTAATTCTTTCTGGGATGTGAGACTGAGGTTTGATCATTGGAATTAAATATGTATTATAGCTTGTCACTGTTTAGAATATATGGTTGCATCATCTACTCTTACAGTTGCATCATCATGTCTATTGTCTTTTGCTTTCCATGGTGTTTCAGGTACTCAGTCTCCCCAGCTCAGTGCTAGAGGCAGGATCCTCGGCCACAGAAAAACCTCAGACTGGGTCGAGTTATAAAGCTGCTGTGGACCAATTCATCCATACCAGGAAGAACCAGAACCAGCACCCAGACCTCTCTGTGGAGAATACCCAGAGTCACCTGTCCAGTCAGAGCATGCAGGAGGTCCAGAATGGAATAACCAGCCCCATCACCCCTGAACACAGCCAAGCCCTTCAGAGACTGTTTGCCTCTGTGAGAACACTGACAGCCAAAGAGGATTTGCTACATACACTGAGGTGAGAGATTAGACTGTATCTCCGAGACATGCCATTCAATTATCAGAGCATATGGGGGATGAAAATGTCTGAAATGCTTCTGAAGGTCTAGTTTGTGTAAAGGCCATTTGACTAATGAGGTGTAATGCGTTGCTTTGTCCAGGCAGCACCTGATTCTCCACACAGCGAGGACGCAGGGCTACACCAAGGTGATGATGGGGGACAGCTGCTCCCGCCTGGCCATCAAACTGCTCAGCAACATCTCTCTGGGGCGAGGGGCATCGCTGGCCACGGACACGGTGAGGAAAAAGACCCACCTCTTTCAGCTCAGTGGAATAGTGAACATTATGTTTATGCCCTTCTATCGCAATATTTAAAGTACCGTTCGTAGCATCACTGCAGCATTAGCCCACATAGGCACACATTGTGTATTGAGCTCTGACAGCAGCAGCTGTGTCATTTAGAAATGTTGCTGTGTTCACAGGGCTTCTCAGATCCTCGCTACGGAGACGTGGTCATTGTCAGACCCATGAGGGACTACTCCTCTAAAGAAATAGCATATTACAACAGAATGTTTGACATCCCCTCAGTCTTCATCCCTGGCCTGGACACTAAGGTGAGTCGGCTGTGCTCTGATTACTATCATTGTTATGTAGTGTGGCGCTGTGTGCCAAGTCAGTATTTTCAAGTTTTCTTCCTTCACCGCCTCTTCCAGGCACAAGACAAGGCCAGCATCCAGCGCCTGACAGAGAGCTTTGTCACCAAACTCCAGACTGACTTCCCCTCTACTGTCAGCACAATCTACAGGTGAGGATGGGTAGCACAAGGAGGCACACTAGGAACCACTTGTAAGAATGACTTCTATATGGTGCAGTATTTGTAAAGAAAATAGTGGTTGAAGGGGGATTTTGTTAAAAGGATACTATATCAATCTTAAATTAGCCTGTTATGTATCTAGACTAGTGTTAAGATATCTGTTGATAATGTCTTTTTGAGGATTTTGGTAATGAACACCTGTGTTGATGGTTGTCCTCCAGGACCAGTGAGAAGCTCCACACAGCATGTCCCTCAAAGAACACCAACACACAACCCTCTGTTAAGTGCCTACTGTGTGTCTGTGCCTTGGACACTAAACTAGGTGAGTCACACTGCCAATGTACTGTACTCACTAAATAAAAATACGGCATTTTGTACTGAAAGTAGTTTTTTTTGTTTTTCGTAGTCACAGAAATATCTCATCTCTACCTCTCTCTCTCTGCCTCCCCCTGTTCTGTAGAGGAATTCTCTGCCTACCAGGCCACACTGATCTCAGAGCAGCTGTCTCAGAGGCGGGGCCCAGGCCCTGGGTTCACCCCTGGTACAGCAGCAGCTCCAGGGCCGCCTCCAGCCTCCTCGGCAGGCCAGGGCCAGTGCTGCTCCACTGGAGGGGGCCAGAGTCAGGGCTGTGGGACTGGAGAGGGGGGCTGCTGCTCCTCTGCTAAGTCAGTAGGCATTTATGTCTCCAATGTTTGCATTACAGTACAGCTGGATTGTGTACACTGAGTGTACAAAACATTAAGAACACCTTCCTAATATTGAGTTGCAGCCACACCCCTTTTGCCCTCAGAACAATTCGTCGGGGCATGGACTCTACAAGGTGTTGAAAGCTTTCCACAGGGATGCTGGCCCATGTTGACTCCAATGCTTCCCACTGTTGGCAAGTTGGCTGGATGTCCTTTGGGTGGTGGACCATTCTTGATACACACGGGAATCTGTTGAGCGTGGAAAAACCCATCAGCGTTGCAGATCGACACAAACCGGTGCGCCTGTCACCTACTACCATACCCCGTTCCAAGGCACTTCAATATTTTGTCTTGCCCATTCACCGTCTGAATGGCACACATACACAACCCATGTCTCAATTGTCTCAAGGCTTAAAAATCTTTAACCTGTCTCCTCCCCTTAATCTACACGGATTTAAGTGGATTTAAGAAGTGACATCAATAAGGGGTCATAGCTTTCACCTGGATTCACCTGGTCAGTCAGTCATGGAAAGAGAAGTTGTTCTTAATCTTTTGTACACTCAGTGTATATTCACACGTTTACATTTAGGGTGAAGTGCCAAGCAACTTGAGGTTGCTTGTACAATAAGAGGCTGTGTTTATTTTGCGATGTTGATGCTATTGAATTAATACAATACTGTGTGTTCTTTCAGGGAACCAGAGATAGTGGATCTTAAAAGCCTGTTGTGTTACAGTTGTAGACTGACCATCAAAGACATGGTAAGTGAAAGGACATCTATCACTTCACATTACTCCTAAACATCAACAAGATCATCTTTACAAAGACTACAGCAGGACAATGTCCAATGTGAACAATTGCCTTTGTTTAACCATGGCCTTTCTCTGTTCTACAGACTGCAGAAGATGCCCTTCCCCAGTACATACTGTCAGAGGCTGAGAGGAGGAAGAGAAGGTGAGATTTACACTACATTCTTTACTCAAAAACAGGAAATACTTGTGAAATAGGTATTTTAATTTGCCCATAATGGCTGCACAGAATATTGAGTTATTACCAGTAGAATTGCACTTAGCATATCCTTATATTTACCTTGTTACTCCTCTTTATGGACTTGTCTAGGTCTCAGATGAGGGAGGAGATCAGTGAGTTCCTGCTAGATGAGGAAGAAGATGAAGCCATCCTGAGGGTCAATGGGTCCTTGTGACAGACATTAATACCCAGTGCTACTGGACAACGTCCAACGGCACACATTAGTGACATTGTTCCCCTGGCAACTATACAGCCAAGGCTGTTTGTCTCAATATGAACTGTAATACCAATTGCTTTTATATTTATTTTCAGTCAGTTGATGAATTATTTGGCTATAAGACAACTATAGACTGATTTTAAACTTTAACTGCAGCCAAAATAAAGCTGCTTTGTACATGGCACTGCTTGGTGGTGAATCTAACATTGATTGTATGATGCTAAAACAATGAATAGTTTTTCCATGTCAGGAATGAGAATTATCATTTATTTGTACACATTAACAATATTTTCATTGGTTTAGGAGCTGAATCACATTGTATTGGAAATAGAAATATGGTTATTCTTCCACAACAGAGATCCCACAGCAACAACCTACATGGTTCTACATTAGGACTCCCATCAGCATCACCCGGGTTCTCTGAAAATGAGAGCGAACATTTGGCAATAAAGTATAACATGTTTATTAAAGTTAGGAAATGTTTTGGTTTTAAGTTTGTGCATTTAGGTTTGTGCATATTGGCAACTGCTCAAGCAATGGTTGAACCATATTGTAACCATTCAGAACAAAATATGATTTAAGGCACAATGGTAGCTGTGTGTTCTGTATAGTGTCACAATTTATGAAACTACTCCAGCATGACATTTTCCAGAGATGGGGCTAATGTTGCCTTATGCAATATTCCAGCATGGAGACGTTTAGTATGGTTCAGTCTTTACTCTGAACAGTGTTGCTATACTCTGTCATTTAACCACAACGTATTTTACACTTTTTACAAGATTCAAGTCTTGCCATCTATAAGCCTGTAACTTGTTGCAATGTACAAAGTTAGCTTTCCTCCCAATTGAAGCATTTCAATTAGTCAACAGTTTGAGTAAGATTCAGAGATTTGGCTGAATATGATCTAATAGTGTTTTGATTGGAAACAAACACCCTACTTTAGGCCCCTTTTCTCTCAAATTGTCCCCTTTGGGGCTGCATTAGTCCACACTGTGCTGGTCAGTGTAGTGAGGATCCAGCCTGTGACCTGTCAGGGGGCCTGGCTCTTCATTACGGGGTAGTGTCTGTAGGTCGACCCGGCCATCACACCTTCTCATTCAGAAGCCAATCTTTCTGTTGGAACCCAAGCAATAAGACAAGGGGAGACTGGCTTTAGTCTGTGGTCAAAGTGCAAAGCATCTAACCTGCCCTTCTGATTGGAGAGGCTTAGCCAAACCTTCCATAACCAGGGGAGGGGCACTGGAGCAGACCCTTGGCTGCCACACAGCCTCTGGCTCTCTGTCTCAGTACGGTCCCAGCAGCAGAGGCAAATAGTACTCTCAGTGTACAGAAACAGACAAAACATCCCTTTCCCCCTGGCTAAGAGGAGGGGTTAGTGCACAGCGAAAATAGACCCACTGGAGCTAGCATTGGGTCTGTTAGAGGAAGACCAGGTAGAGGCACCCCTGTGTGTCAGACAGCCCTAGCCAGGGGTGCTCTGGATGTGATGGGACAGCACAGCCAGGGGGGGGAGGGGCTAGCGATTGTCACTTGATAGCTTGTCTCTTGTCCACTTAATCATGGTCTCTGGTGAGCGGTAGAGGAAGATGAGTTTGGAGTAGAGCTCCTCCTCCAGCTCTAGCTCTCCGGTCTCCCTGACCAGGAAGATGTCTGTGCACAGCTTGAGGATACGGTTAACACAGGGCAGCTCCTCAAACATAATGGAGTGAGAGATCTCACTGAAGAAGCCCCTCACAAACTTCCCAATCACCAGCACCACCGACACGTACAGACCCATGATCCTGCAATGGACAACAAGTATAGAATGAGCATAACTGAACACAGAGCTCTCTGTCTGAAAATGAAATTATGGATTTCTTCTATTCAAAATACAGTTCATTTCCCACAAAATAGTGTGAATGTAAATCTAGTATTAGATTTGCTGGAATGGGCTACCATTGAGAAGACAGACAGGCACAGATCTTACCCATATCCTGCCAGGAAACCTAAGCTGGGGGGGCTGACTTTGTCGTTGAAGATGACCATGGGCAGGACGCCGCAATCCCCTGTGGACGGAGGACAGTCGGCGATGCTGATGTCCCACCACTCCTGGGCCCCACGGGTGCTGTTCAGAGAGCGGTCCCTCATCAGAGACAGGGTTACATCCTGGTAGCCCTCCTCATCACCTGCAACATAACATGGTGTCAGGGAGACAGTAACACAGACCGACTGCCTATGTTTTAGCTTTGAGCTTCCTTGTAGACGGGTTGATTGTTTAGCAACAAAACTGACTCGTGTGCAACTATGGGGAAAAACAGACGGGGTTGGCTTAGATTGTTGATAACATGTAAACTGTATATTATCTCCAATGTTAATTGAAAACATAAATAAAGCTGCACAATGAGCACTTGTCTCTCAAATACATCGTTACAGCTAGCAAATTTGAGCCATATTAGCATAGACGTGACATCAGTCAAAACAAGACATTAAGAACAAGATCAAACAAGCTGAAACGAGCCACTTACGATTCACCACCATGGCAGCTTCTTGTCATTGTTGCTAGCTATCTGGCCATCCAGAACCATAACAACACTTGGCCTTCTGCCCCTTTGAAGCGTGTGCATCGTTTCGTGACGTTGTCAGCTAACCCGTCTATATTTCAAGCACTGTATGGCAAGAAGGATGTTTATAAATAAAAGCTCCTCTGACCTTTATACAGCTGGTCGACTGGTTTGGCCTCGGCTCCGTTCGGTGCTCGGATATAGTTGGGGAACATGTGAGGCACACGTCTGAGGAAAAAACAGTACAGAGAATGTCAAACAGAACTCAGGACAGGATTTCACACAACATAAATTGAAATAGTACATTTGACTTTGTGTAGAGAGCAGAACATACACTGGGTCTGTGCGGTTCCCCACTAGCAGTGAAGCAAGGTCTGCTCTGACTGGGTTGCCTGGTTCCAGATCGATGGAGTACTTGTCAGACGTGTGCTCCACAGTGCCACCCTTGCCAAGGTCCCTGAAGAAAGAGACAGACAAAAATACAATACATACTATAGAAAACCACAGGGCAATTGCATAAGCAAATGTTTTTACTTCTACAACTACTTAAAAACACACAAACAGGTGCATACACATACAGGTGGGCACACACACACACACACACACACCCCCCACACCCAGCTGACCTCTGAAAGGTCCAGGCCAGGCGTAGGGTCATGTCCACAGGGCTGCCCAGCAGCTCCTTGACCACCTCCTGTCGACTAGGTGGGCTGATCCTCCACACTGACCCGGAGCTACCCTCGATTTTAGCTGTCACTATGTCCTCATAGCTGTAGAGGGTGATGAACTGCATAGCCCTCTGCAGGAGACGCACACAGACACTCAGAAGTTACAACTACCTACCGCTGAGGCAAATGGAGAGCAGCGGAGCTCAAGTTCATGTTTGTTGTATTCATCATTCAACAGGGATCACTTACTCACGGTTACACAGTTGTACACATTTTGTTTGATTATAATCTAAAACAGGGCACCCAAGGGAAGGAAATGAGTTCAGCTCTTTACAGTAGGGTTGGAGGTATTACGTACAGCATTGTCATAGAAGTTGGTGGTGAGTTTGTTGTAGTCCTCCTCAGTGAAGGACTGAATGGACTGCTGCTGGACACTCATGGTGAACAAGGGCTATGGAGAGGGACAATGGTTAAATGTTTCAGTACAACAACTCTAACATGAGCACATTTCAAATGTATCTTCCATAGATTCTCCATTGCTTGCTTTTCAGTGCTGGACTAGACTTGCCATTGAAGATGACCATGGGCAGCATGGGTCCAGGGCCCATAGAGTGTAAACTGTGCTCACTTATAATTTTCCCCCCAGTAATTACCTCATATCCTCCCAGCTTGACGGTCACTGTGACATCCACAGGGTGATTGACCACGCCCACAACCGATCTGACCAATGAGATGAAGAGCAGCGGGAACCAGATGATGCAGATGAGGAAGAAGATGATGAGTCCTCCCATCCCATACTTCACTATCTTCTTCTTCTTCTGGCCTTTGGGCTGAGGGTATTTCTGAGGATGAAGAGGAACCAGCTGTAAGAACTGCTGGCCTAATCACACACTACAATAGATAGCAAGTGATTTTATCAACTACATTTGTAACCTAGAGGTTTTTGTACCTTCTCTGTCTCACGGCTACACTTGATGATGAAGATGTTGGCGTAGATGTCTTCCACACACATCCAGTTGGAGAGGGACAGAGTGGTGTCAGTCCACACCCAGTCCATCACTGCCCGGAGCTCCACCAGGAAAGGCACCAAGCGGAACCTGAAAGCACAGACAGACAATATCACCCTGTACCAGTACCCAACCTCATCCCATCACCTCCCTGAACAGGGAGACTCCTTGACTCAAACATACCATATGGTGTGGCAGAGGAGGAGATGAATGGACAGACTCACCCCTGGAAGAGGAAGAGGTTGAGGTGGTTGAACTTCTTAGTGAGGAAGTTGCCCAGGATTCGGGTGGGGTAGCCACAGCGGATCTGATAGGCCGACAGGGCAAAGTAGATACACTTGAAAAAGTACCAGAGCTGAGCCACCGAGTTTTGACTGAACATCCTGAGAGGACAGAGGGAGACACACTTCAGTATACACCTCAGAGAAATGATGCAATAGACACACTGCTTCAGGACTGTAGAACATCATGAAGATAGACAAACATAGTGTGATTAAATAGACATGATGTAATGAGATGTATCACTCTGCGGACACACCTTCCTCTTCCTCACCTCTCAGTGACAGCAGGCAGGATGAAGAACATCCAGAGGTGGATGCCGAACACCAGGATGATCTGGAAGATGAGCTTCCCCAGGACGGTCTTGCGGAGGTAGAGGGCTCGGTCGATGATCATGGTGCTGAACTGGATGAGCAGCATCACTAGGAAGGCCTCGGGCACCTGGTCCTCTGACAGCGTGGAAGCAATGTCCGCTGCGGCTGAGTGTTTCTGAGGCACAATGGGCAACCGTTTAGTCCACAAAATGCTATTATAGTATCCTGGGACCAAGTACAGAGCTTCTAGAGATTGTGTTTTAATGGTTTAATCAGAATAACGTGTAGGTGGTGATGCAAAAAGGAGTAATACAATATCGGAACTGTATTTGAGAGGTTTGAAAGGTTTGAGAGCTTGTGCCCGCACAAGGAAAGGTTGTGTGTCAAGAGTGGCCTCGGACAGAAAGTGCATTCATTGCAGTCATATAAACAGTACTCACTCCAAAGGCCCAGAAACCGAAGACAATGATTATAAAATCCACCACGTCAGTGAGGAACATGAGGGCGTAGACATCAGTGGCAGCACGGTACGGTGCATGTAAGATGTCGCTGAAGAATTCGTGACAAGGCTTGTAGACATTTCGCATACTACAAAGAAGATTGGGAAATCAAATCACGGTTCATGCCCAAATATGGCAAGATTATAGAGAACCGCTGATTCATACAGCACAGTAATCACGTCACAACCAACTACACTTCTAAATGCAAATCAAAACCCACAGAATGATTTATTAAACCATAATAACACTATATAATTCACTGGTTATGTAATTGTGTGAGGACTGCATTGTCTGACGAGCTTTCCTGTGAGTGACTCCTGTGTACTTTCCTGTGAGTGACTCCTGTGTACTTACGCGGTGATGGTGAGGTGCTTGATCTTCTCTCCCACTGCTATCAGCTTCTTACTGGCTGCCTCTCTACGTTTACCCTTCTGCTTCTTCTTCTGCGCCTTCTTCTCAGCCTTGATATCTAAGGCTTCTAGAATCCAAACAGAATACAAATCATTTCACTGTAACTGAGGAGGGCAGTAATAAGGACACACACTCCTATTCTGAAATCCCAAGCCTTTAATTCATGAATGTCTTCTTTCTCCCCTCTATTGTTTCTTTAACTGACCTTTGCTTAGTTGTTTTTTCTTGCGGAAGCGCATGATGCTGCCCTTCTTCTTGGGTCCCTCCACAGGCGGCTCTGGGGTGGGGGCTAAGCTGGTGCTGGGCTCTGGTTCAGGCTCTGGTCCAGGCTCTGGTTCGGCCTTCTGGTCCTGGTCCGGTTTGAGTTCCTCCAGGTCCATGAGGCTGGGTCCTAGGCTGGGAATGGACCTCCACCTCCCTCCCCCTTCTCCTTCCTCCTTCTTGTTGGCCTCCTCTGATGGCCGAGAGGGCTTCTCCTCCAGAGCACACTCCTGGTCCCACAGGCCATACCGCTGATGAGAGACAGTGAAGAGTATTTAATCCAAATCTTGTGGTATAAACATATAATTATAAATGTCAAGGCCAACAGAGTCCTGGCTGAGAGTTTTATGGTGGACTGGTATACCTGTAGCAGTGAGCGATGGAAGAAGAGAACCAGCAGCTGCAGCAGATCATAGCGGATGTAGTTATCAGTTTTCTCCAGGCCCAGGATACGAGGAGGGAAGAAAGGCTTGTCCTCGTTCAGTGTGAGCTCATATACACTGTTCCACGGGAAGAAACCAAACTGGAACAGGTACTTAACCACCACCATGACCTGAGTAGAACCGGAACAAACCAGAATAATGCAGAGAGAAACATAGTTAAACATACATGAGCATCTGTTAAATACTGTGATTTTTGTATTTATTTTTGTAAAAGCTAACAGCCTGGAACGAGAACAGTGTGAAATAAAGCCCTAAATTAGGGTCGGGCAATCTAGACTGCTATTTGGTTTCTACCGTTGGTTTACACCAGGTGTTCAATAAAAAAAATCTTACACATTACATACTTCACATCTTACGCAATGTTTACACCACTTTAGCCAACGAAGGCAAGAAGATGGACAAGATAGTAAGCGTCTGCACCTATGCAACGGCTGTCTCAACAGGCTTGCATAGGTATGCACTAACATACTACATCAGTGCAACAATAACAATGCATAAACCAGCTCTGTCTTGGTACCAGCATTTTCAACCCAACAGCGACCCACCTCAGTGTAAACAATAGCGGTCATCCAGAACTTCTTGGTGGGGCGTGGCACGGCCAGCATTGCCCAGAGGAAGATGAGGATGGGCAGCACCACTGAGATGACGGAGGCCGTCACCATGTTGTTGAGCACGATGATGAAGTAGCACACCAGCTCGGAGTTGGCAGCCAGGAGGTTGTACAGGGCAAACTGCAGCTTCAGCAGGCGGTTCTGAGAGGAGTAGAACTCTCTACACTGGACCAACTCCTCCACAAAGAACTGGCTGAGTTAGGGGGATCGAGACATGGGGGTCAGTACAGTTCGTACACACAGGACATACACAAGCTGATACGTGGGGACAGTTGGCAGTCTGTGTCGTGAAAGGAAATCGATCAGGCTGCAAGCTGGGGTCTGTAGCATGTCAACTGTAGAGATTTTCTGGGAACATTGTAACGTATACGTCAGTACCTGTCAGTGAGCATCTCACTGGCGGTCCTGGAGTGGCGGTAGTGGCTTTTGTGCTGTGGTTCTGGCTCCTCCCCCAGCAGCTCCAGAGTGGGCTCTGAACAACACAGGGTGGTGCCGCTGTGACGCTCACGCTCGCTCAGCTCCTCCAGCTCCAACCCACTACAACATAACACACAGGTCAGCAATAACACTTAACACTGACTGAATTATAGATGATTACAAACCAGTAAGAAAAGGACATTCTTCAGTTAAATTCTGTCCCTCCCTCAAAGGAGATATTTAATATTCAATGTGTCCAACAGGTTAAATGGGCTATCACCGTCACCAACCTGGTGGCACTGGTTCTATTCACGTGGTCTGTGTCTCCCTCTGTGTCTCCCAGACAAGTCTCCATAGTGGGGCTCTCGCTGCCCTGGGACAGCTGATCCTCCATAGGCTCCCTCAGAGGCCCCTGTCAAACACTACAGGGTTAGGGTCCATCACTGGTCATGCTGGGGCAGAGCCCCCTAGAAGTAGATGACTTCTGGGTGTGGGAGGTACCTTATAACTGACCTGGCTGACGTTGTGTATGAGGAGGTAGCGTTCGTTGCACAGCACAGTGGAGGTGTCCACGTACTGCTTGGTGATGAGGTTGAGCCACTCTGTTAGGCCGTCCACCATGGCCAGGAACACGATCCACAGCAACATGAGGATGTCCAGGATCCTCTGCACGATGTCTGCCTTCCCTGGAGCACAGCATTAGATTACATTGCATTAGGTCATACAGACAATAAAATGTGTGAAACTTAATGAATAAATGGCGCTATATGAAACACTGTGAATATAGTGGCCAAAATATGTAGCCTACATCATTAAATAAACCCCCAAAATACCTGAGCCCTCTCCTTCAAGTTCGTCATTGTCATCTATCTCTTCGTGTGAGATACTTTCATCAAATTCAACACTACCTTCATGACCTGTAACAGAAAAAACAAGTTAATCACTGTGTGTTTGTTTGTGTGTGTGTGTGTGTGTGTGTGTGTGTGTGTGTGATCTCTGACCTGATGCTGGAGAGCTGTCCTGTTCCCTCTGCCGTCTCTCCTCTCTTTCCAGCCTCCTCTGTTCTTTCTGTCTCTCCTGGCGTTCTCTCAGCGTTGCCTTGGCACTGGTCACCCACGCCCGGTACGCCAGCTGTGGGCACAGGGGGGCAGGAGGAATTCACATGCTTCAATACTCCATTGTGAAAAGCAAGCTTTGGAGTATTTTGAGTAATATTGTTGTTTCTGCTCATTTCAGTGCATTTTAGCGCTGTGAAAATGTTGTGGTGGCAGAGGCTGTGTTTAATGTCTGTAAGGTGAACTCACCTGAAAGGCAGTCTGTTTCTGAGGCTTTTTTTCTTCTGAAAATAGTTCTTCTTCCTCCTCACTGTCCGACTCAAACAGGTAGTAATCTCCAGAATGCAACACTGCAGAGGTAAACAGAAACCATCCACATCATATTAATACATGGGGACAGGACAGACCTTGGGTAGTGAATGCATTTACCGGTAGTACAACTAGTCATAACTCATATAGACTGAGACCACTACAACCCAGGAGTGTTTAGTGCCTGATTTTCGAACAAAACAGAAACAAAAAAAACTGACTAGCAGCACTGGACAATGCAGTTCTGTCTGAGGAAGGAAATAATGAAAACAGATGTGGGGAAAGACAGGCCAAAAATACCGGGAGATTACGATCCTCTCCTGGACTGCAGCTGCAATTCAAAGAGTATAGAGAAATATGCGTAAGACCTATTCCATTATGAAAACACTACAGGTCGGCTAATAAACTGTTTGACAAACTCTGATTGGTTCTGTCCTAAGGCAAACTCTTCCAGATTTCTGACAGTGCACGTAAACAGTACAGACCGGCTCAGCCAACCATTTCCCCAATAGACAGAAGACATCAGATGCCGCTCACTGCAGGAGAAAAATACTCCTATTTCAATATCAAAGAGCCCAGACAAATCTAATTTCGGGACCTCCTGAGGCAGACAGACGGAAGGTATTTTATTTGAGCTAAGGGCATCCTGGGACACAGCCTCGGGTAATGATGTGATTCTAACTGACTGGATGACCTTCCAGAAGAAGTCGGTCAGACACAGCTGCATTACAGAGGACAGAGTGTGCACAGGCACGGAAAGTATTCAGACCCCTTGACTTTTCCACATTTTGTTAGGTTACAGCCTTATTCTAAAATTGACACAATACCCCATAATGACAAAGCAAAAACTGGCTTTTAGAAATGTTAATTTATTAAAAATAACAAACGGAAATATAACATTTACATAAGTATTCAGACCTCTTTACTCAGTACTTTGTTGAAGCACCTTTGGCTGCAATCTTCTTGGGTATGACACTACAAGCTTGGCACACCTGTATTTTGGGAATTTCTCCCATTCTTCTCTGCAGATCCTCTCAAGCTTTGTCAGGTTAGATGGGGAGCGTTGCTGCACACCTATTTTCAGGTCTCTCCAAAGATGTTCGATCGGGTTCAAGTCCGGGCTCGAGCTGGGCCACTCAAAGACATTCAGAGACTTATTCCGAAGCCACTCCTGCGTTGTCTTGGCTGTGTGCTTAGGGTCGTTGTCATGTTGGAAGGTGAACCTTCGCCCCAGTCTGAGGTCCTGAGCGCTCTGGAGCAGGTTTTCAGAAAGGATCTCTCTGTACTTCGCTCCGTTCATCTTTGCCTCGATCCTGACTAGTCTCCCAGTCCCTGCCACTGAAAAACATTCCCACAGCATGATGCTGCCACCACGATGATTCACCGTAGTGATGGTGCCAGGTTTCCAACAGACGTGACGCTTGGCATTCAGGCCAAAGAGTTCAATCTTGGTTTCATCAGACCAGAGAATCTTGTTTCTCATGGTCTGAGAGTCTTTAGGTGCCTTTTGGCAAACTCCAAGCGGGCTGTCATGTGCCTTTTACTGAGGAGTGGCTTCCATCTGGTCACTCTACCATAAAGGCCTGATTGGTGGAGTGCTGCAGAGATGGTTGTCCTTCTGGAAGGTTCTCCCATCTCCACAGAGGAACTCTAGAGCTCTGTCAGAGTGACCATCGGGTTCTTGGTCACCTCCTTGACCAAGACTCTTCTCCCCCGATTGCTCAGTTTGGCCGGACGAACAGCTCTAGGAAGAGTCTTGGTGGTTCCAAACGTATTCCATTGAAGAATGATGGAGGCTACTGTGTTCTTGGGGACCTTCAATGCTGCAGAAATTTTTTGGTACCCTTCCCCAGATCTGTGCCTCAACACAATCCTGTCTCGAAGCTCTAAGGACAATTCCTTCGACCTCATGGCTTGGTTTTTGCTCTGACGTGCACTGTCATCTGTGGGATCTTATATAGACAGGTGTGTGCCTTTCCAAATCATGTCCAATCAATTAAATTTACCACAGGTGGACTCCAATCAAGTTGTAGAAACATCTCAAGGATGATCAATGGACACAGGATGCACCTGAGCTCAATTTCGAGTCTCATAGCAAAGGGTCTGAATACTTACAGTATGTAAATAAGGTATTTCTGTTTTTTCTTTTAAATACATTTGCAAAGATTTCTAAAAACCTGTTTTGGCTTTGTCATTATGGGGTATTGTGTGTAGATTGCTGAGGATTTTTATTTATTTAATCAATTTTAGAATAAGGCTGTAACATAACAAAATGTGGAAAAAGTCAAGGGGTTTGAATACTTTCCGAAGGCACTTTACATGGATGCTCATAGACACATCTGGAACATGCACATACAGGTACACGACAAGCAGCTGCATGCACAAACACATGCACAAACACATCCACTTAAGCACTTGGTGTGAGATAAATGTGGGGTCAGATACTGTAGAGATGGAGAGACGTGGAGAGAGTCAGTCTGGCACTGACATAGACACAGACAGAGGGATATATAGTGGTGGGATATGGAGCAAACCTTTAGCATGGTCCAGCCAGGGCTCTTGCCACTTCTTGCCACGCTTGTGGCTCCTCTTTTCCCTCTGTGGCTCTGTGGGGTGAGATGAAGGGCCTCAGGCTTTACCAAACACACACAACACAAACACTCTCAAACCATCATCTGCAGCGATGGGTTGTTGAATTACTTGACAGTGAGAGCACAAGTCCAAACCAAACTCATTTGTAGCCTCCTGTAGCTCAGTTGGTAGAGCATGGCGCGTGCAACGCCAGGGTTGTGGGTTTGATTCCCATGGGGGGCCAGTATGAAAAATGTATGCACTCACTAACTGTAAGTCGCTCTGGATAAGAGCGTCTGCTAAATGACTAAAATGTCATACCTGCCGGATCAGTATAGCGTAATGAAGTTGAGTACCTGATGCCGGATCCGCCTTGGTGTCTGACTTCCGACGGCACTCTTTACACTTCTCCTGTTTGGAGCGGATCCGTTCCATCCTGAGGGGAAGGGCAGACATATTCTGATGTCATCACTCTATCTCTCATTCTTCTCTTTACTCAGTTTTCTACATTAGTTGTATATGATTAAGCAGTCACATATGGCACTTGACCACACTACCATCTTGGTTTTGGACATGTGTTTTCCAGAGAGTCCATCTGCTGTCACATTCATCAGACATGTGCAGAGGGAGATTATTGGCCTGGCTAGTGGCTATTCCTGGCTATGGGCTACTTATGAGATCTGTCTCTCTCATTAGCCCGTTTTGGCTTGATACATGAGGAATGTCTCCATGTGTTGAAAACATGGAAAGCGGTCATTTCTAATGGTTACTCACGATCTCTTGAGCTGCGAGAGGGACTTCTTCTCTACTTCCTGGTGGAAGCGCATGTTCTTCACAATGCTGGCCCTGAACAGCTCAAAGCCCCTGTCACAATCAAACAGCAGGTCAACACAACATGTTTCCATACAGTATATACAGACTGAACACACAGTAAAACAGTATCAGCGTGAGTCTATCAAAACACTGTGGCAGTTGCAGGGCACTGTCGTGGCTCTTAGGGTGCCCCCCAGGGGGTGCTGTGGAGACCAGTGCTCACCGGGAGGCTTGGCGGGCAGAGGCCTGCAGGTCGGCTGTCACATGCAGGAAGTAGCAGCTGAGGAACACTCTCCTCTGCAGCAGGAGGAAGAAGAAGCAGATACTGTCCCAGATGATCCCTGCCTCCTCTACAGGCAGAGTACACGCCTTATCACTCACACGCTTAGCTGTAGGAGACACACACAAGCATACAAAGTCCGCTTTGGTTATTCTATAATGCTCAGACAAATGACTTGATAATCATTGTTTTCCTGCCAATTTGGAGGGTGACTTGTGTTCACTCAGAGATAAAACAACTGTATCTATCTTTATGTGTTGAGTACTCACGGTCGTAGTAGCCCTTGACTGTGCAGACCAGACTGAAGAGTTGGATCACCCAGCAGAAACTTTTCTGCATCTCCACCACAAACACACAGGCCAAGATCTGGAGACACAACACACTCTCACGTAAATGTATACAAACATAACAGTTCACCTAACAACGTTTATTTCCACCCTGTATAGGCTTATGGTTACAGTATGTGGTTGTCCACAGCGAGGTGCATAGCCACTCACAGACAGCATGTTCTTGGAGATGATTACGGCCACGTTGTAGATGATGAGGCAGTCCCACATGACCAGGCGCGTGCGGGAGGGCTTCCTGAGCAGCTTGGTGCCGAAGAGCAGGAAGAAGAAGCAGGCCAGCAGGTAACCCAGGCCGAACACACTGATCCTGGTGGCCCCCGTCACAAACACCACCGACAAGACAAACCAGAACATGTGACGGAACACCAGCACCTTGGCCATGTCCAGGTAACACCTGGAGGAAAGGGGGAGAGAGAGATGATAGTTAATGTTGATACTGTATACTGGTAGGCGTAGTTGAGGATGTATAATAATTAGTGCCCTGGTCAGGTCGCATGGTCAGGAAAAACTCCTGCCCCTCATAATAATGCCTGAAGGGTATGAAGAGGATGAGTGTGGTTATAACTGCTGTTAGGTCAGTTGTTCTCTGTGTTTGGTCATACAGTACCTGCAGTTGATGAAGTTGGGGGCAGGATTGAAAGGTCGATCGTCCATGGGGTTAGGGTCGTCTGTGTTCTCTCCAGCCAGAACCATCCACTCCTCCCTCTTCTCATCCTCAAACACCTTCCACTGCTGGGAGGCACACATCAGGAGGACAAAGTCCGCTGGAGGGACCAGATACAGACTCAACCATCAGCATCAAACAGGAGGAACACATCATCATCAAATTACTAATTAACCATTTTTGATATTATGCATCTATGACCAGGATATTTTAAAGTCAAAGCACAGGTCGTAGCGTTAGTAAGCCACAATATCACTGAGGTCAGGGGTCAGATGAGGCAGGAGACTCACCAATGAGGTTCTTGGAGTTGGGGATGGTGTAGAAGTCTGGCAGGTAGATCCATTTGATGAGCGCCGAGTTGATTATGATGGGGGTGTTCCATCGCCAGGGGTAGTCTTTAGAGGGAGAGAGATACACTGTCAGGTACTGTCGGTAAAGAAGGTGATGTTGTTGTATAGCTACTGGGAGGCTGGCAACAATGGAGATACATGGAGACTAATGATCCCCACTCACCTATACAGAGTGCAGGGGGAATGCCCACACACAGTATGTACTGGTAGATCATGAAGATGCTGAGGAACAGGCAGTATTTGGGCCAGATCTGAGCGATGGCCGCCCGGCGACGCCGTACCATGATGGTCACCAGCCAACAGCTATGGATTATGACTAGGAAGTTCATCCGCTGGCCAATCACATTCACCGTCATCAGGAAGCAGATCTTGGAATGACACATGGATAGAAAAAGACATGAAAGATATGAGAGGAATCCAAAAGTATAGAGAAATACACCAACATGCTTTTGTATAGTAACTCCAAACAGCAGCAAGAGGCCTACCTCCAGGCCAAACTTGTAGAAGCTGTAGTTGAGTAGGTACTTGATGCAGGCCAGCAGGCCCTGGTCCAGGGTGTCTCTGGTGGCCTGGGGGAAGATGGCTGGGATGAGGGGAGGGGACCTCTGCTGCTGCCTGTAGTGGTGGGCCTGGTGGCGGTTCACTGTGGCCTCAAACACCAGCAGCATCAGCACCAGCAGGTGGTTCTGGAAGGACACAAACAAGACAGCATGAGCTAGGTCCAGTCCAATTGTTATTTGACCTAGTACCAAAGTTGGGGTCAATTCCATTTAAATTCCAGTCAATTCAGAAAGTAAACAAAATTCTAATTTTAAAATGTTCCTCATTGAAAAGCATTGAAGAATTATAATTTTAGTGTTCTTCCTGAATTGAAACGGAATTGACCCCAACCCTGCCTAGTACACATATAAAAAAATTATCACGACGACGAAAATAGCTCAATAACATTACTTTATAATCACAGTAAAAGACTGTCCCCTTGAGAGACGTCAAGATCGAAGAGCATTGATCTCACCTTGCTATAGCCCAGTACGGTGGCATCCTTCCTGAAGCCAAACCAGTTGGCCGGGTCTACAGGCTCTCTGTACAGAGTGGAGTTCAGGACCTCAGAATCTTTCAGATTGGTTTCATTGGCCAAGGGCTATAATGGAAAAAAAGAGCGCAATGGAGAGAGAGTGAGAGAAATGAGAGAGCGAGAGAGAGAGAGAAATGAGAGAGAGTTTATTTCACTTTTGTTTACTATCTAATTCACTTGCTTTGACAATGTTAACATATGTTTCCCATGCCAATAAAGCCCTTACATTGAAATTGAATTGAGAGAGAAAGACAGAGACAGAGACAGAGAGAGAGAGAGAGAGAGAGAGAGAGAGAGAGAGAGAGAGAGAGAGAGAGAGAGAGAGAGAGAGAGAGAGAGAGAGAGAAAGAAAGAAAGAAAGAAAGAAAGTGGAGAGAGCGAGTGTATATGAGACTGAGGAACTGCAGCCAGAATGTCTCGCTGCAAATCACAGAAAAACTAAACAAAAGGCTGTTCTTCTCTAAACAGCCGTAAAGCAGCGAGACTAAACACGTCAACAGAATTCACACATGAAACTGGCTGTAATTAGCACCAAGGTCTTCGCTTCTCACCAGGGGTAAATACTAGCATAGTGTGCACTCAGCAGAACGCTGGCAGCAGGAGTGTGTGAGAACGCTATCAATATAAACAGAGAGCATAGCTCTGTACACATTCATCTGTACTCCACTGTGTGTGTGTGTGTCTTTCCAGACTGGTGTCTCACCACAGTGCAGTTGTTGGTGTACTCGACAGGGTCCACGATGCTGAGCTGGTAGAGCATCTTGCAGACGATGATGATGCAGACCCAGACGGTGGACAGACAGGAGGCCATGTGGCGGAAGCGGGAGTAAGGCATGGCAAACGCCCAGAGCACCACCAGAACCAGGTTCATCACAGACGGCTGAGACAGACAGAGAGAGATAGAGATAGAGATAGAGATAGAGATAGAGATAGAGATAGAGATAGAGATAGAGATAGAGATAGAGAGAAGAGAAAGACAGAAAAAGAGGGGGGGATAAGGTCTTGGTTCCAAATTCACACGGTACATAATAGACTGTAACAGATGACTGCTGTGGACTACTGACCTCTCCCAGAGCCACCCAGACCACAAAAAAGGCCACCATCTTGAGGATGTGCAGCTCCAGGACCCTCCAGATTAACACTTGGATCTGGGTCAGTGTGTCAGAGAACTTCCTGAACAGAACCATCAGCCTGTTCACCACCAAACCCCACTTACTGGGCATCATCTCTGTACAGCAGATATAGAGAAAGAGAGCGAGACATCATTATAGACATGCCACATATACAGAAACACTTGCCTTGTACTGTTTTTGTTTGTACAATTGTAAGCAGTCTTTGGGTCCTAGAAAAGCACTATACAAATCTATTGTATTAAGGGCTGCAGGAGACTCTGCATTAAGCTCAACAACATTACCACAACATCTGTGCCCACCATCATCCTCTGATTCGTCATCCCCCAGATCTGTCACCAGATCTTCCTCCTCAAACACAGCCCCATCAGCACAGCGGAGGACCTCTGGTCTGTGGCTCTTCTTCTTCCTGTGGGATCAAAATAGTGTCATCATATAGGATATTGTTTCTGCAGGTGGACAATGGCTTTCTCTGGCAGTGATATTAAATGAGATGGACAGCACACAACTGAACTCATTTACTATGGACGTTATTACATGGACTTTTGACGAGGACGTTATCTATTATCCTCTGTCCGGCAGTGAGTCATACTGTGTGGGAGGAGCCTGAGACGAGCGTACCCGTGTATGGGCGTGACGTGGTCCAGGTCTGTGATCCTCATGAAGGGTCTGTGAAAGTAGTGAAGCTGCAGGATGCAGGCCAGCAGGAAGAAGCCTGGGATCAGGATGCTGGTGAACAACTCGGTCAGCTTAAAGGTCTCCAGGCCGATGTCAGCCAGCCTGCAGGGAGACAGAGGTGCAGGACTCGCTTCAATTTCCAGAGGTTTCTACTGTACTCATAGTACACCTCAAACCCAGATGGCAGTGATCAGGACAACGTAGGAAATCTGGAAAAACTAGATATTGGTGTGGAAATTGATGATATTTAGGAATTCCTGATTAAATCAGTAAAAACCACATCCTTGAACCCAGATTGATGTTAATATAGGCCACTTCATCATCAAACATAATGAGAAACCTAATAAGAAAGTGTGTAATAGTCTTGACCACACAGTGAGGTGGGGGGAACGTACTGCTGTTCAGTGAAGCCGGTGAAGTTCTTCCAGTAGGCAGGGAAGTCCTCAAACTGGAAGGTATAGATGGTGATGAGCACCAGCATGGTGTAGGCCACTACCAGCCACCAGAAGGCCTTTAGCAGCCTCCTCCACAGAGAGTAGTACACCTGAGGGTATAGGGTCACAGTAACAGTGACAGTGACGGTGGGGGTGGACAACAACAACATTCATTAAAATGTCAATGACCAGTCAGTTTGACCACAGGTCAAATCGAGGTAATGGAGTTATCCCCAGTGCGACCAGGGGCAATTTGCCATATAAAACCAGTTTGTTGTGTGCTGCACTTTGGCTAACCCTGTGTTACTCTCATGCTTGTATGTTGTGTGGAGGGTTGAGAGCAGAGCAGAGGAGAAAACACATGTACGAAGTAGCAGTTGGACCAATAAAGTAGTATTGTAATATTTATTTAACCTTTATTTAACTAGGCAAGCCAGTTAAGAACAAATTCTTATTTACAATGACGGCCTACACCGGCCAAACCCGGACGACGCTGGGCCAATTGTGCGCCGCCCTATGGGACTCCCAATCACGGCCGATTGTGATACAGCCTGGAATCGAACCAGGGTCTGCTTTAGACCGCTGCGCCACTCGGGAGTAGTATTATAGTATTGTAATATGGAAATCACAAGGAGTTCAGGATGGGGTCATAGTTTAAAGGACTTTAGAGTGTGACCCCTGGACTGATGGTCCCTACATACCTGGTAGAGACAGAGGCAAAGCAGGAAGAGCAGCATGTAGATGATCTTGTAGCCCACCAGCTTGCCAGCGAAGCTGACCATGATGAACATGCCTCCACACACGTAGATCCAGTACTTGGCATAGCAGCTCATCACCAGTCTGCCCACAAACTTCAGAACCGACTCGTTCCGCCCGCTCTCCTCTGTGGACCCGAAGGGAGAAGAACACCTTGTTACTAACCAAACTGAACTGAAGACACTGCCATACTGTAGGGTACACATGATTCACAGTCAGTATGAAAATGTATGCACTCATTACTGTAAGTCGCTCTGGATAAGAGTGTCTGCTAAATGACTCAAATGTAAAATGTAGACAGTGGGAGAGAATGTTACTGGGCCAGACCATACTAAAGCACACACCTGGGAACTTCATAACTTTCGTGAAGTACTTTATTGTGTAGAGAGTGTGTGAATCAGAAGTGGTCCCTCTCACCTCCAGTGGTGACCTCCTGTAGAGGGGCAGACCTGCTCTTCTTCCTGCTGAAGTTGTCCTTCACTGACTGGCGCAGGAGCAGCCAGAACGTCAGTGTGTACAGCAGCTGACAGGATCAACAAAACAGACAGAGGGAGAAGAGAGATGTGAAATTAGCCACCATTGGAGTACAGTCTTGACACTGTTTGGGAGATTGACTGCAGGACCGCACTTTTAAGTGCCTTTCTCACAGCTTTAAATCATATGGAAAGTATGAGCATATACTGTTAAATAGCCAAAAGAGCATATGTGACAGGCATGTTTTACCCAAAATACTTGTTGAGTGGGTGAACTTTTCAGGTATGCACTAAATAATATCTTGGGGACATGTTTATAACAGCACTACAGTCTTCAGAATACAGATTACTGCAATATCAATTTCCTGTAGGCACTTAACAGGCTGCATTCATTGACATTTCCCAGAGCCTCTGTGCCACTGCTGACCCGGTCCCCTCCACCCCTACCCCCTCTCTCCTCACCATGGCCCCCAGGCGGAGGCAGGGGTACTGGGCTCGGTCCAGACCCAGCTGCCTGAGGCTCATGGTGCCCACGGTACGGGGCAGCTCCGGCTGCAGCTCCATGGCCCAGACGTACTGCAGGAAGCAGAGGGCCAGGCCGTAGAGCAGGATGAAGGGAGAGCACAGCGTGGCGAAGTGGCGCCTCGCACGCATCATCCAGATCAGACACGCCCACAGCAGCAGCACAAACGTCAGCCAGCTGTGGTAGGTGATGCTCCACACCTGCAGGGGGGCATCATGGGAGATGGAGTTCAGGTAAGACACGACATACCCTCACTTGGAACATAGCCTAATATACCAATGGCGCTCATAGAGAGGATACATTTAGAATGTGAATAAGAGTTCAGTGTTACCATCATGGCGATGAGAGCACACACGTAGCTCTGCTGCATGACCACTCTACCCAGCAGGTGCAGAGGGTGGTCCCCATGCTGTCCATCAGGGGCGCTACTGAGCCCTGGGCCCAAGTCCTGATGACTGGAGCCATTGGTGACGCCATCTCCTGTGCTCTCCATAGACTCCCCAATAGACAGAAGCATGTGCTGGAACACATACACATCACACCTTTATAAACAACACCAACACACAGTCATAGAATGGCGGATAGTAGTGCATTGGACAGCATGGAGCAGGGCAGGGGTGCAATCAGGTATCTCATGCTCACCTCAGTGTCGTCCTGGCTGGGTCGTCTCTGAGCGGACCAGGGCTTCAGTTCCACCTCCTCTCCTCCTCCAGCCTCTGTTCCTTTGACCAGCTGGGCCCCCTCCTCACCCTGTCATATAAGCAAGTACTGATTCAGTAAGCAGCACATGTCAATCAAGACAGACAAGTATGTTTCATGCCTTTGAGTGCTGATGTCAGTACCTTGTCAGCTGATCTATGGTGGCTGCTGATCTTCAGGACCATTGCCATGGTGATGTACAGGAGAAGCAGGATCCCGGGGTTGACATACACAGGCCAATCATGCTCCGTGTTGAAGATGAGGTCATAGGAGGCGGAGCAGTTGCCAGGTTTGACGATATCCTTGAGGCCAAACAGTCTGGGATTGAGAAGAGGTGAGAGGGAATGTAACAGAAGCCTGCATATGGGGTTGAGTTTAGGAAACATGGTTTCTCTGTGAAACGTCATCAGATGATGTAAACTTTATTGCACAGTTTAGCCCTGGGTTCACCCTGCCATGACACCCATTGATTATAGTTTCAGGTTATATTTGTGGGCTGGAACTGACTTCTAATGTTGATTGCTGAGCGTGGCTAAGAGCCAGAGGTAGAGAGGTGAAGATAAAGAAGGAGAGAGCGAAAGAAAGATCACAGGTGTCTCCACCTGGGAGGCCTTGATAACAGCAGTACATATTATATATTATATATCTCCCCCTCTATCCCCCCCCTCTATCTCTCTTAAGCATCCTATGCCAAAACCCTGAGACTCCGAGATGGAATGCTACAGAACGGCTTCATCACCCCCACCCCACCACCCTGTATCACATCCCAGGTGTAAGAGAGAATGAGACGAATGGGGGGGGGGGGCATTTGGTAATATTCCAAAAACAACTTGCTAGTATTTCCTCACATAGCTTTCAGTCTCACTCCTCCCCTCTCATTTCACTCCATTCCTTTTCCCCCTCCTTCAATTCTGAGAACTATGAAACAAAACTGAGAACTGTCTCAGTTCCACTCATCTGCTGTTAAGTAAGAGTGCAGTCTGCAACTGTCTCAACAAAATCACAACCCCAAAAAGATTATATGTTTCAGAAGCTTGTGAGCCAAGGAGTCAGTGTACAAATCACTTCTGAATCAATGTTTGAATCATAATCTTGAGGTAGTGTGCCAACCAGGAGCATCGCTATGGCTGCTGCCAGTCCCTGTGAAAAGTAAAGCTGGGTAGGTACTAGAGACATGAAATACAATGACTAAAACGGAATAGAATGACTTATTTCACTAGCGGTGGGGAGGGGCACTGACCTGGCCCACAGGCTGGCAGGGGGCAAGATGCCCTGGGCAATGGGGCACTGGTACAAGTAGAGACACACCAGGTGGCCCGCCGTGAAAAAGCCCACCATCACACACAGCACGTTGAAGCCTAGGTGGCTGATGGGAAAGTGGCAGGCCCACCATGTGCACACGCCGATGAACAGCAGGAAGTAGATTGCAGAGAAGGCCGAGGGTAACGTGATGCCTGGGGAACAGAGATATAGGCGAGGGACTTTATCAACACAATACAACAATAATGCACGTCGTCTCTCAAAAACAACAAACCATACATGGATATCTTCAAGCAGTTCCCCCATACTTTAATGCAGGGATGGGTAACTGGTGGCCATGGCCCGCCACCCTTTGAAGGCCCTCAGATCAATGTTCCCCCTACAAATAAAAATACATTACATTTTTGGGGGAACTCAGTCAGGGTCTCAACTTACTGTTGTGAGGTAGAATAGTAGAATACAAAAGAAGCAATTTAGAAATTTGGTTGTGCATCAACAGTTTTTCTCTTGTTATGTCAGCCACTGCTAGTAACTCAATTAGCCCATGTCAGCAAAAAATTTTTATTGGTAAATTTGTCTAGTGGCCAGCTATGTAAACTTTTAGCAATCAAGGTCGAATTAGACCCCGTGGGGGCCCCATTGATTTTGTTAGTCAGTCTCACTCAGATATCATATTAAAAACGGCAAACATTTCTCTCCACCCAAAATGTGTAGAATTATTTAAGATTTATTTCACAAATAAATCAACTATTACCAGTATATTAATTTCCTTTTATAATGAAGCAGTAAACAGGGGTTATTCCCTTGACTCCACTCCACCCTACCCTCTCCTCCCTCCAGTTCTCACCAGCCAGGGCCAGCAGGGTGATGGCCAGGATCCGGCCCAGGTCCCTCAGGACCTTCTGGGCTGTGGCTCGGAGCCGGGCCGCCAGCTGCTTGGCACGAGTTGCCGCGGAAACCACGGCATTCCCCAGGATCACTGGGAGACGACATGCCTTCCTCATCTCCCTCCTCTTCCTCCTCCTCCTCCTCCTCTTCACCCTCCTTTGTCTCCGACCCATCCTCTGTCTGGAAAGAACCAATGAGCCAAATGTAAACTGATATTCGTAAATCTAATTCATAAATGTTTTTATTTAACCTTTATTTAAGCAGGGAGTCCCATTGAGACCAAGGACTATTTAGCAAGGGAGCCCTGTAGGCACAAAGCCAGCAGCAATTGCACAATAAAACTTATGAGAACAAATACTTCAATAAAGTGTAATGTCAACAGTACTGTAAATCTCAGATCCAACGCTATCTGTATCCCATTATCAAGAGCACTTAACTTCTATGACAAGAACCTGGCACAAAGAATAACCATCAGCCATACATACGCAACACTATTCAAGTTATCTATAGTTACGTACATGCAGTAGATCAACATTGTAAAAGGTAAAACTGACATGGCACATTACACACTCATAGGGATCACTTTCTGACTGGGGCACTATGTTCATTACTATCCTTTACACACTAGAGTCCCAGAGTTGGCCAGAGGAAAGCATACAGTGTCTGTTCCAGCTTAGGGAAAAAGACTGGCACCACAGATAAGATTATAAACACAAATTACAGAAATGATAACATAGTTACAAACGTAATATGCCTGGACAGGCTGGTAACAATGTTATGCTTTTATGGCGCAATAGTCAATAAAAGTGTCTTCAATTTTACAACCTATTTTTATGTAGAGACCTGCCAAGCAAACCCCTCAAAAACACAAAGTTGATGTGCCCTTTGTGACGAATCTGGAGAAATCAGGTGTGTCATGGGAAGTCTTATAAAACGAATCTGTGAGACTGTTTACCAGGTTCTGTGTTGTTACCATGGTGACCTATGTACGGTCAGTCTTTTCTTCTTTTTGGCAGTGTCACTTTTCTCAGTAGCGGTCCGGAGGCATCTTGGCCTAGACCGGCGGCCATGACGGAGAATGTTCCCACTGAGAGGATGAGTACACAAACGAGACGACAGAGCCCAGAGCACAACAGAGTGGCCTTACTGTCACTCTAACCTCAGGTTATCAGGAGAGACAGATCTAATGGGGTGTGGAGGAAACCACCTGTCAGTCACAGGTGTTAGGTTGGCGCACTGTACCAACGTGCGAGAACGAGAGGGGGATTCATAGTTCATTCCGCAAACTGCTAAGAGCATGCCCTAAGGGTGCATAGCTGTCATTTCCCTCTGACACTGTGAATGATGTGGTAAATGTATTGGCATCACTGACAGGAGTGTGTCAGAGGGCCAGATGTAACTGGGACATTAGTCACATGATACTGAGGTCACAGTATCATTCACATCCCTCCCTGATCAGCACCCCAGTCGCAGGGGGATAACACAACACTGGGCCTGGGTGGGCTAATACTGTGATAGGGATTTATAACATAGCTTTACAAACATGCCCGGCACCTCATCTGTCACATCACATTAATGTGCCAACAACAGGTGGCATCTGTTGCCACAATTCGACCCTGGTTATTCCCTTGGCCTGAGTAGTCACGTCCTGTTGCGCATATAACTAATTCCACTGTTTCCCCTCGTAAATCAACTTGGCCTGGCATCCTGTCTGTCCACTGCTCCTAACCTTAATGTGTATGCGTGTATTTGTGTTTGTACTGTACTGTACTGTAAGTACATGTGTGACATTGATTATCATGAGGGTCATGAAAAGATGCAATAGAAAAATCCATCAACCAACCAACCAGAGGGTAGAGTCTCAAACATGGTATCTATCTGCTCCATAAGATTCTGTGTCATTGAATACGGTTCAGGACACCAGGATTCATTTCATAGGTCACAAGAGATTGGGTTAGCATGTCACTATAAAAAGGTTAGTGTGACACTTGAAAATATAAATGTAAAATATTTTTCCACCATTAAGAAATGTAAATGCTTCATAACCTGATTTACTTTCTTTCTCCGAATGAATTAAATGTAAAGTCCTAATACTTAAGCAGAACTAACGATTTTTAATAATCTCCTTCAGAATCTGGGCTCGTTTGTTGTGTGTGGTTTCATTAAACGCTGCTATCTAAAGCTCTCACTGGTTGACTTCGCTGGCATGAGACAACCAGCCATCGGCTGTCTCACTCCGTTACAGTCCCAAATGGAATAACAGGCAGTAGGAGACAGAGATTATAATGCTGTGTTTGAGTCTGGGAAGAGAAAGATAACTATTGATGTGTGGAATAGAGGAAAGGGGAAACTCCCTGACAAACATCTCTATAGTCTCATCATGTGCTTAGAAACCCTGCACCTAAACACATCTCAACTACCAGTTAGCCAGTGTGCCCATACACTCTTAGAAAAAAGGGTTCCAAAAGGGTTATTCGGCTGTACCCATAGGAGAACCCTTTTTGGTTCCAGGTAGAACCCTCTGTGGAAAGGTTTTTACATGGAAACCAAAAGGGTTCTACCTGAAACCAAAAAGGGTTCTTCAAAGGGTTCTCCTATGGGGACAGCCGAAGAACCGTTTTAGGTTCTAGATAATGCATGTTCTTCTAAGAGTGTACTATCTTAAGCATCAGCAACATTATTCTCGATGATGGAATACTGTACATAAGAGGCAGTGTGTGGTAGTCCAATTACCTGGAGTCCCTGTAGTCTTCTGTTTAACCTAGAGCATTAGGGTTAATCTGTGTGCTGCTGACTGCTCAGTGGTAGAATCATCAAAAGACAGATAAAAGGAAAGTAGGCCTCTTTCGTCCCCCCTCTCCCTCATGTTTTATTAATACAGTTTCTCTCTCATCCTATGACCAGAAGTATCTCTCTAGACAGATGCTTGCCTCTCACTAACTTTTCCCTTCTTTCAGACGCCTCTCTATCCTTCTAGCGAGGTCTTATGATTGTCTAGGGGAAGTGTTGTTAGAGGCAGACAGGTCAAGCACCCAGAACATTCCTTCATCTAGGGTTCCTCCCAAGAGATCATCAACAACATAATTCCCTGCCGCCGACACTCCCACACCTCTCTCTCTCGCTCCATCTGTTATACACTCCCTCTCTTTCCCTCACACCCATCCCTATTTCCCTCCATTATGTCTCCTCTCTTCTCCTGACCGTCCAGTGGCTCCTCTGTGGTCTATACTGCTGCTCTGATGACTGCCTGGCCTTCATGACTCCAGCCTCCTCCCAGTGTGACCTGTTCCAGGGGAGTCGTTTACACCCCCAGCGTGTGAAGTCAACCACTGACCACGGGAGTCTCATTACTGAGGAATCCCGCTTTGGGTGGGCTAAGAGGGCTGGCATTCCTCACACACACCAACCTGTCACACACATATAGTACATCATCCCTTTACTACACCATCCCTCACACACATACACAACCTGTCACCCGCACACCATCTCTCCCACACACCCCGGATCAACAGGGGGGACAGGGTCAAGGGTTAGCCACATGTACAACCTAATGTGATTCTGTTTTTGGAGCTGCACATGGAGTATGCTTGGGGTTTTCATGAAGACTAATCCTCCTCTACAAAAGTTTATGTTACTGACAAACCACTGCTGACTCCCCTGTCCTCCCTTAGATGTAGTTCTGATTGAAACCATGTGAGCCAGAGGGACAGTGAGTGCAGTATGATGAGAGGGTGGGGTGAGGTATACTGTATGTGTTAAAGGATGTGCCCAAACTGCCCACTTCACAAACACACAGTCTCCCGTCTCCCCAGCTGAACACCACCAGGCTCCACAGCCAGTCCCGGCCACATCAAAGACAATTGTCTCAGCCTCTCTGGCTGGAGGCAGCCGCTCATTCCCACACACAGGAACAGCCGCAGAACGTTGCGGTGGGAACGTTACAACAACGTGACAGAGATGTTGTGAGAATGTTGTTTTTGATGTGTGTGCAGGTCTGAAACTGTGGGATAGGAGAGCGCTGCTCAATTGATGTTGAGTCATGTACAGTCAGGGAGAACTGCAGTGCACCCAATGGCAGGGCTCAGCCTTAGTGGGCGTCTGTCTGAACGACATATTGTCTGAGAGGAGCAGAGGGGCAACCCATGGCATTCAGTCAACACATGGCAATCAATCGTCAGAGTGCTGCCTCAATCAGCACAGCACTTCTGAAGCAAAGAATACAGTATGCAGGAACATTCTGACTGACATACAGATTTAACAGAGAGAGGAAAGACAGGAGAACAGACTGTTCTCTTAATGAAGAACAAAACTTGAGAAATTGTTGAAAAAAAGGGTTGCCAATTGTAGCTATGTAATAGGTTCTTGTCAGAGAGTGGACACAAGAGGCTCAAGAGCAGTTTGGTTGTGTTTGTTAATTGATCGAGTCAGGGTCCGTTTTTCCTTTTTTGACACAGATTGGGGCAGGCTATGTTTGTTTGGGTGGTTGCCCTGGCTACGAGCAGAAAGCTGTTGCGCTCTTGGCAGCTGTACAGGGAGTGTGCTCAGATGGTGTAAGTCAACAGAAAGAAAGAAAAGAGGGAGAGAGAGAGAAAAATGAGAGTGAAAGTACAACATAGGCTGGAGAGTGAAGAGCAGTCGAGACTGTCAGCAACAAAGGGAAGAGAAAAGCTTCCACTAATAGACTGACTGGTGAAACCTCTGTGTCTGTCTGTGTGTGTGTGTGTGTGTGTGTGTGTGTGTGTGTGTGTGTGTGTGTGTGTGTGTGTGTGTGTGTGTGTGTGTGTGTGTGTGTGTGTGGTGTGAGAGAGAGAGGCCCATGGGTAGGAGGCAGCATTACGTCTGGGGAGCCCCTCTCTCTCCCAGGCAGGCTCAGGCAGGGCTAGCCTCCCACACTGCGAAGCAGAGCCGGAAACCAACTCAGCTGGTAGAACAATAGCTACCTCTGTCACCAGCACCAGGCCTGAGGGAACCTCCCCATTACCTCACTGTGTCGCTCTCTGCCCCAGTAACACCACAACAAACACCAACACACCACAGTAAAACTAAACTACTGTAGCATACCACAACACTGTTTCACGTTAAGATACAGTTCCATAGAGAATAATGCTGCCATCCAGTATCTGTATGTCCTCTTGCTCATAGGCTGACAGTAGGTGAATCTGTTCATACTAGCAGTGCTTGCACAACAGTGCTATCAGCAGTATCTGGCTGCATCAAAACAAAGATAGCCTTTCATGGAGGCATGCGGTTGTGCGTCTTGTGAGCTTAGATTCTGTGACTATTCTGAACGTGATGTCATATTTATTCTGCAATTTTGGAATATGATTCAAGCGAAGTAATTATACACAAATATGTTTGTTACTAAATAATTATTTAACTTAAGAAACGGTTGTGCACAAAACATGAAGTTAATATGAACCGTGTGGAAGGGCTTGAGGCAAGCGCGTGGGTGAGGCGGACATGGCCAGCCCAGCTCAGAGGCAGTGATCAGAGAGACCTCAGCCATAACCCTCCTCTTTAATCAGAGCCATGGGGCGCCATAACGTTCCATAAGAATGTATCATTCTAAAGTTCCATTATATATAGCAGCCGATGAAGCAGTGACTCAGCAACTTCCATTTCCTGAGTAGTGGAAGCCAGGGACACTGTTGTTTGTGACTCTGTGATTCGCAACACAAGACCATTCCCACTACTCTATATATGGCTTGGAGTATTACCATACAAGTGTTTCTGGGGTAATGTACCTAGCACTCGCATGAGAAAGGTGTGTGTGCGTGTTAGGGCTGCACAATTAATCAAATTCACATCGAAATCCATATCGCAAAGATTCATATCGCATGCAATATTTTGAAACGCCACTCAAACGCGTCACAGACCAAGCCCGCCCCGTCAGTCAAGCAGCACAGTTCCTCCTCCTCGCTGTTAGATCCACTAAATGTTTGCATGCTGTTCTGTTAAGTCAAATGCTGTCAACAGATGGTTCCAAACAAGAATGATGCTGATGCTTTTAAATATACAGTGAGGGAAAAAAGTATTTGATCCCCTGCTGATTTTGTACGTTTGCCCACTGACAAAGAAATGAGCCGTCTATAATTTTAATGGTAGGTTTATTTGAACAGTGAGAGACAGAAAAACTTGGGAGCTATTATTAGGAAATGGGAGGACATGCCAGCCCACTGAAGGCACTCGGATGGGCTCCACCAAATCCCACCCGTGGGTCATAAAATTATCGACTTGAGCAAAAATCCAAAACACACGGGGGACCTAGTGAATACCTGCAGTGAGCTGGGACCCATTAACAAGCTACCATGCAGAACACTGTTAGTCCTGGCCATGGTGACCAAATCCTTCGTGCCAACGTGTCCCTCCTTGCTTAGGAGCCAGTACAATGTTCATGGCCGCGTTTGAAGTTTACTAAGTGCATTTGGATGATCCAGAAAGGATTGGGGAATGTGCAATGTCAGATAAACCAAATAGAAATTTTGGTAACAACCAAATCGTCTGTGCTGAGTTGATCCAGAACACCGCCACTGTCGAAAGCTGGCGGGTGTAAAATCATGCTGGCTGTTTTCTCGCAAGGACCAGCAGACATCCTCTAAGGCAGTGATGGGGCCACTTAAATCGTTGAGATTTATGATCCGTCTATAATTTTAATGGTAGGTTTATTTGAACAGTGAGAGACAGAATAACAACAAAAAAATCCAGAAAAAACGCATGTCAAAAATGTTAGAAATTGATTTGCATTTTAATGAGGGAAATAAGTATTTGACCCCCTCTCAATCAGAAAGATTTCTGGCTCCCAGGTGTCTTGTATACAGGTAACGAGCTGAGATTAGGAGCACACTCTTAAAGGGAGTGCTCCTAATCTCAGCTTGTTACCTGTATAAAAGACACCTGTCCACAGAAGCAATCAATCAATCAGATTCCAAACTCTCCACCATGGCCAAGACCAAAGAGCTCTCCAAGGATGTCAGGGACAAGATTGTAGACCTACACAAGGCTGGAATGGGCTACAAGACCATCGCCAAGCAGCTTGGTGAGAAGGTGACAACAGTTGGTGTGATTATTCGCAAATGGAAGAAACACAAAATAACTGTCAATCTCCCTCGGCCTGGGGCTCCATGCAAGATCTCACCTTGTGGAGTTGCAATGATCATGAGAACGGTGAGGAATCAGCCCAGAACTAGACGGGAGGATCTTGTCAATGATCTCAAGGCAGCTGGGACCATAGTCACCAAGAAAACAATTGGTAACACACTATGCCGTGAAGGACTGAAATCCTGCAGTGCCCGCAAGGTCCCCCTGCTCAAGAAAGCACATATACATGCCCGTCTGAAGTTTGCCAATGACATCTGAATGATTCAGAGGAGAACTGGGTGAAAGTGTTGTGGTCAGATGAGACCAAAATTGAGCTCTTTGGCATCAACTCAACTCGCCGTGTTTGGAGGAGGAGGAATGCTTTCTATGACCCCAAGAACACCATCCCCACCATCAAACATGGAGGTGGAAACATTATGCTTTGGGGGTGTTTTTCTGCTAAGGGGACAGGACAACTTCACCGCATCAAAGGGACGATGGACGGGGCCATGTACCGTCAAATCTTGAGTGAGAACCTCCTTCCCTCAGCCAGGGCATATAAAATGGGTCGTGGGTGGGTATTCCAGCATGACAATGACCCAAAACACACGGCCAAGGCAACAAAGGAGTGGCTCAAGAAGAAGCACATTAAGGTCCTGGAGTGGCCTAGCCAGTCTCCAGACCTTAATCCCATAGAAAATCTGTGGATGGAGCTGAAGGTTCGAGTTGCCAAACGTCAGCCTCGAAACCTTAATGACTTGGAGAAGATCTGCAAAGAGGAGTGGGACAAAATCTTTCCTGAGATGTGTGCAAACCTGGTGGCCAACTACAAGAAACGTCTGACCTCTGTGATTGCCAACAAGGGTTTTGCCACCAAGTACTAAATCATGTTTTGCAGAGGGGTCAAATACTTATTTCCCTCATTAAAATGCAAATCAATTTATAACATTTTTGGCATGCGTTTTTCTGGATGTTTTTGTTGTTATTCCGTCTCTCACTGTTCAAATAAACCTACCATTAAAATTATAGACTGATCATTTCTTTGTCAGTGGGCAAATGTACAAAATCAGCAGGGGATCAAATACTTTTTTCCCCTCACTGTAAATCATTCTATTTCTACGATTCCAACAGTTCACCCAAGTGTTTTGATCTAGGCCCTATATCGCAAGTCAAATCACAATATTTGGTAAAAAAAGAAAAAATTGCAATTAGATTTTTTGCCCATATTGTGCAGCCCTAGTGTACATAGCTCGAGAAGGACTTTAATGCCACTTGAATAGGAGATTCACTATTTCTATACATTCTCACACTAGAGGAGAGCCATAATACTCTACAGAATGTTTTCAAAAATGATTGAACACTTTCATTGCCTTTCGGATTCCATACATATAGACTGGTATAAAGAGTGGATGTCCCATATTAATAGCAGCATAGCGGTGAAGCCCAGTCTGTGTCTATAGAGCAGAAAACCATTCACCCCCTGTGTGGAGTCTGAGGCTACGGGCAGGACAGTGACGTCATCTCTCTTCTTGACCAGCCGGTTACACACCACCAGGGTAACCAGGGAGATCACAAACACCCCCAGGTCAGGGGTCAGCAGATGCACCACACTCCACACGTCATCCAGGGGCAGCCTAGAAGACAGAGCCACATGCAGGGGTCAAAGGTCATCAAAGAACTACAAGTGTACATTCTCACACACGTACAACAAAGACAATAAAGAACAAACAGAAATAACAAAAAGAGATGTAAGAGTGAACATTCTGCAGATAACAGTAACTGATCTCCACACAGTTCAGAGAGGGATGATCCTCAGTGACAAGATACACAGACACAATGTGCTTTTTCCAAACATTCCTCACATACCTGGATACACCAACATGCCTCGATAGCGTCTCCCACAAGCTACCTGTAAAGACAGAGAGTGTTAGGACTACCAACTCTCCCCAGGCCACTCGGTCTCTGCCATGGAGTGTTGTTTAGGGGCAGGAAAGGTCATACCAGGTCTAGACTCTAGAGAACAACTACAACATAGCATACAGCTGCAGCTACCATAGATGTTCCCATGAGCCTCCAGTATTACTAGGAGTAAGCCAATGTGTCGGTATTTGAATGGGTTTGTGAGGAGCCCAGGCATGGACAGACTGAAGCTGGAGTCAGCATGGTGGACTAACTCACATGGTCCAGAGAAGAAAATAATATGACATCAAAGAATACTGCTTTAGCTATTAAAGCTCCTTGAGGACATGTTTATTGGGGCAGGCCAAAATAAGTCCAGACCACAAAATAAAATCCACATATTCTACAGTCAGAAGGTTGTAAGCATGGAGCATTCACAAGCATCCCTGATAGTATTCCACGCTGGTGGCTAATGACAGAGTAATAGACTGAGCGGGAAGAGAGCTGGACTTAACATGTCCAAATAAATCAGAGGTAGAAGCTATGATTTCATGGAGTTTCTTTAGTCTAAGTCAAGGGTGTCAAACTCATTCCATGGAGGGCCTAGTGTCTGCTGGTTCTGGGTTTTTCCTTTCAATGAAGACCTAGACAACCAGGTGAGGGGAGTTCCTTACTAATCAGTGACCTTAATTCATCAATCAAGTACAAGGGAGGAGCGAAAACCCGCAGACACTCGACCCTGGAATGAGTTTGACACGTGGTCTCAGTGATTCATTTAACCTAAACAAGCCACTTATGAATGGCACAGGCCATTGTTTAGAAATGCTGACTGAAAATATGACAACGAAATAGCCTTTGGCAAAGACGTCTATATTCACTCACAGTTGTGTCCCAGTGCATGGTCCAGGTCAGGGATAGTGTACAGGCAGATCTGGAAGGAGACATGGGCTAGCAGGAAGAGAAGACTGGTGCAGAACAGAGCCTTGATGAAGCGTCCAGTATGTCCTGGAGAAAAGAGAGAGATGGAGTTAGAGGAGGGGAATGGGGGGACAATGTAGAATATGAAAGGGAAGATAACATAACAATCAGTTCCTCCCATCCCTCAGGTAAAATAGGTTCAGGAAATAGCAGGGTGCACAGTACTGACAGTTTTCCAAGGACTTGTCCTGATCTGACTCAACATCCTCAACACCATCCCACCTTCAACTGATGCTTCATTTTCCACCAGTCAGAACACATACTGAGACCATGGAGGCACTAGTAATCACAGCAGTGTGTTTATAGTCTAAACAGGAATTGCTTGTAACAGTTAATTGCCCGTTTTTAAACAAAATGGGAACATTAGACTATTATCAAGCCTGTGGATGGCATTGAGGTACTGCCCGTGCCAAACTGTGCTGCTGACCATAAAATGCCCCCTTGCCCGCTCTAGCCCCGAATCCCCACCTCCTCGCCACAGGCTTGTGTGAGGCAGCTTTGATTGGTCTCCTCATAAAGCTGTCAGCTCCCATTGGTGGTGTAAAATGGGCCACTTAAGACACAGGCACAAACTCCCAGTGTAGTGAACGAATGCTGCAGGTCCCTGTGGAATCCTGGGGGATTTTCCTTTATAGGCGTTGACTGGCTCAAGAAAATTAGCAGCTACAACAAGTCAGTGTTAGGGGACGAGCTTAGGGCTTTGATTGTGTTTTATAGGGCTGTTTTTCTCTGTCGCCTGCAGGGCGAAGGGTAGTTTAATGGCTCAGTGCTGCTCTACCACCCCCTCAATTACAGCAGACAGGAGGTTAGGTATTGCATTTACAGGCTTATCCCTGATCCCAGATTTAGGTTTATTCCACGTACACCAATTTACATTTATGACTAATACTAGACCTGAGGATGAAAATAGTATTCAACGTGGCATTGCTAGCTAGATGTAGTACACCAGAGCAGTGAGAGAGTATTATTCATGAACCTGGTTTCTGAGCATCATCATCCTTTTAAATCATTTAATGCCCAGTGAACCATTCACATTTGATTTCACGTGCCCCCTGTCAGTGATGTGATGTGAACTTTGTGAAAAGGTTAAGATTATGAATTTTTTCCCCCTCTCCAATTGTGCAGGATCAAGATCCATCACAGCCACTCTCTGTGTTGGACATGTTTATCTTTCCATGTATGAGACGGAAGGAAAAAGAGAGAGACATGACAGGGCTGATAAATGTCAGACACGCCTACCGTAACCCCCAGTGGACACACGTCACACATGCTAATAACGTCTCCGTGTGTGTTTTGGAAAAGAAGGGATCCGTCCAAGAGAGGAGTAAATAATATAGGAGGCGTTGTACACAGCCAAGACCCCCTGTTGAAGATGAGGTCACCCTGACTTACTGCAGACAGCTCTACTCAACTGCTGCTACCCAAACCCCTGCACATAAGCTCCACTGTCTCCAAGTGTGTGTGTGTTTAAGTTAACTGCGCTGTCTTCCCTCTTTACATTTACATTTTAGTCATTTAGCAGACGCTCTTATCCAGTGTGACTTACAGTTAGTGAGTGCATACATTATTATTATTATTTTTTTTCATACTGGCCCCCATGGGAATCGAACCAACAACCGTTGCCGTTGCAAGCACCATGCTCTACCAACTGAGCTACACGGGGCCCTCTTCAACCACCCGGCTCTCTACCCCTGCTACTGGAAAATCATGATGTCATTGCCTCTTTAAAACTCAACTCCAAATCAAATTCTGTAACTGCCTTGCTAATATTCTGCATGTATCCTGTGTCACAGTATAGTTCAAGGCTATTGAGTCCATCCCTCTCCTGTAGGACCTGAAGGGCTATAAGTAGAACCTATCATAGTTCTTTGCAGGGTCATCATGAAGATATCCATCTACAACATTCCTACGTTACATTACTCATGACTGTCAGCTAGAGTAACATGACCTCTAAAACATCAAAAAAAATATGCACGCCTAGACCCACTTACCTGCATTTACACTGTCATTGCACACCACTCATGCACTCTGCACCGTAATCTAAGTTTTGGGGTAGTTTCCTATTCTAAGAGATAAAGTAGGAATGGAATGTGGAGGTGCATTCCAGTGTCTTAAAACAAGGCCAGAGGGAGACAGCTCCTCATAGGGAACCAGAGCATGGTGTGTAGTGTTCTTTCCAGAGCAGGTTTCATATGATGGAGATCTCTCTGAGGAGAGACCAGCACAGCCACCAATGTGGTGACGACATCTGAGACCTGCCATCACTATTCTTAAGTACTATCAAGACATAACTCAACACAAACATGATATTAAAATCTTCATACCAGGGATAGCATGACATGACAGCCAATGACAATCATTGCAATCATGGCCTCATCATCTCTCATTAGATAGTGAACTATCTGGGAAGGTCTGGTTTTGGATCTGAGTGGGGGCAGCAGTGTTCTTGGTGAAAGCCAGAGGTGAGCAGAGGCCACTGGGTAGTGTAGTTCACTACAGGGAGATCAAACCTTAACTCTGTGAATTGCAGGACCTTTTCTTGGCCATGTTTGCCATTTCTAGTTTGTATTTTCAGAGACAGGCAGAAATTTGCTCAGGTGACGTCTGTAAAATATTTTTTTTCAGCGGGCGCCCTCTTTACCCACTCACCCTGGTGCTGTATGTGTCGTAAAACCTCAACTAAAATCTGCAATCTGGGGTGACATTACTGGGTTTTCCATGAAACAGGATAATTTGGAGGAATTCTCAATTGTACGAGTGTAGCTCTGAACATTGTTTTAACAAGTCTTGTGACTGTAGTGCACCTGACATGGAGGGGTGCAGCAGAGTTTCTGGGCCCGGGTTAGAGTGGAAAGAAAAACAGTGCATGTTAAAGAGCAGGGCATTATGTTTAATACTCAGGCCGCTAAAGAGCCACATAACTTTCACAGTTTGCTCTGCAGTTGTTGGGTTTATTTATTCTTATACACTATTTAGACTGAGGGGAGATGGAATAATAGTTCCAAAATTACTCTTTCACAAGTCGAAAACAGAACCTAATTGAGTTTCATCCCTGAGAAATGAGCCGACTCCTGCTAGGCACTCTGAGCGATACTGTGCTCTGTTTGTTTTCATTCGCTAAAAAACCCAATGTATTTTCTTTAATTGAATTTACCTCATTTGTAAAGGGGGAGCTTTCCAAAAAGAGGACCTCAGGCATACCGGCTTATTTTTCCAGCGCATCGTAAAAGGCTGGTTTAGCTGGCCAGTGTAAACAGTGCTGTTATGGAGAGGGGTCCACAGGGCCAGCCTCCGGACACAACAGTCCAGGGTACAGAGGGCGTGGTGGTTCAACGAGGCCACTGTGGGCCTGTTAAGAAAGCTATGTTCTGATGATTATTCCCTATTGGAATTTGGCCTTTAGGTACTCTCTTTAATGCTAGAGGTCACCGTAAAGCAGGTCTTAGTAACTGGTATCTGGGCCCTTGAGCCATAACAATCAGCCATGGGTGTCCTTAAGCGATTAAGACGTTTCAAATGTATAGTCTATTCTACCCCAAGGTCTCAGCCTTGATTTAATGCTTTGGCACCAGGCACGGAAGGGTGAAACAGCGAACAGATAAGGCAAGAGTATTTAATTCTGCCCTCCCCTCTGGAGTGGGAGAGATTTGCTGCGAACCTCTTAGAGTAATGTCTTCCTATATGCATGTCTGTCTGTCTGTTAAACATAGAAGTTGTTCGCCTTGTATTATGCATCACGCATGTCTCCACACCTTGACCGGTTTTCAATTCCTAACACCATCCACTGACTGGAAACACACACACTGCATCTCTGGCTTACACCACCCGTACTGTACTGCTAAAATATTAGAGTGAGAGAACACACTGACCCTGCTAGTTGGTCTGCTTACTAGAGGGATCTCATTCACATGTTCTATGTGTGTAAACTCATTACACTAAAGGTACATTTGTTTAAAAACTTCTACCAATCAGCAACAATAGTCAGCAACCTGAAGAAACAGCTACCCGACAGTAAACAAAAATGACTGAAAACACTGACATTTATTTATGTTTTGTTGTTTTGCATTACATTTGGATCGTACACCATGTCCTGCTGCCTACGCTTATCTGTGCTGTTCTCTGACATCCTGTCCTGTCGCAGGGCTGCGTTGGTGTGAGAAAAGCTGGCGTTTGCGTAAGAAGACTCTGCTGAAATAACAGTGGCGTGTGGAATCCCAGTTCCTGTTGGGAGCGGAGGAGCGGAGGGCACATAGCAGGCACGCCTCTGGGAAAAGCTCCTCTCTGGCCCCATGGCCTCTCACTCTCAGGCCACTGATCTAACCAAGAGAAACAACCAACCAGGGGTCCACAGACCCTCACTCCTCCCACCAGGGTTGGGGTCAATTCCATTTAAATTCCAAATGTTCCTCATTGAAAAGCATTGAAGACAACTGGAATTGAAATGGAATTGACCCCACCCCTGCCTCCCACATAACTCCCAGCAGCAGTGGAGGCTGCTGAGGGGAGGACGGCTCATAATAATGTCTGGACTCGAGTGTAATGGCTGGAATGGAGTGAATGGAATGGTATCAAACAGATGAAAACCATGTGTTTGATACCATTCCATTCCAGTCAATATTATGAGCCGTCCTCCCCTCAGCAGCCTCCACTGCCTAGCAGGTAAAGGAAACGATGGGTCAGGCTGGGCAAATATCCATAATATAGCCAATATGTTTGTAGGTGTACTTTACATGCCATTTAATGAAGATAGTAATGTAACTTGCTTTCATTATTAAAATTATTTACAGGTTGACATGGTTTGTGATGAAATATACAGTCTCTTTTCAGTGCACACTAGCAGTATATTGTTTTGCTCCATGTGGCGGTGGACAGATACCTTACATACTGATGCTAGTTCTCTCTCATTATTCAAAATGCTGGACTCTATTTTCATTAGCTAAACCTGCTCCATTTCTCCATAGGGGAAAAGGACAAATAAAGGACCACATTTTATGGACATTCTGGTCAAATAAACCAGATGGGCCTATTGAGAGTGGTCTCATATTTGTCTGAGAACAGACAGCTGTCTTGTCTAATATATCAGCATTGGAACAGAAATAATCTGAAATCAGCTGCAAACTTGTTGTCAACTGCACTTACGGCCCTTCCCACAGTCTATTCTCTGCCCAGTTTAAGCTGTGGTCGGCCTTGAGTACTCATTTAGGGAGGCCTGGCCTGGTGTGCATTTCCCTCACACCCTCTCATTTATCAGCATGACAGTCAGTGACAGTTGGGCTTTGGGGCCTTTCAAAGCCACACGATGCCTTCCTCAACAAAAAACACACAAAACAAAAACCAGAGGGGACATTCATTCCTCCATGTCTCAAACTGCTGTTTCACCGGCGACAGGAAAGCTGTGGATATGGACGTGGTCTCAACAGCGGTGCCTCAGGAAGGGATGTTGTAAAGCCCCTGCAGGTGTGAATAGAATACACAGGGGAAGAGATTTGATGCAACACCCTGCGAGCGTTGGACCTGAATACCAGTGAATAAATCCCCTATTATTTTCCTAAGTTGGGAACAGTGTAACCCAGCAGGCTCCAGACAGGTGCTCAATATTTGTCCTTTTGCTTATCAGCTCTGGGGAAACGACAGTGTGTCCAGATTGTACAATACAGGGGATTTAGATAATGGGGAGCGAGCAATGGAACATAGTCTTTTGAAGGGAATGTCAAACACAGTGTATCAGGTGATATGTATTTGGGCTGGGGAGGAGCTGAAAGGGACTATTAAGGCTTACCACAGTCCTCTCTGTCAGTGGCCTCAATGAATCCAATGATACCTTGGTGAGATCCACTTAATTGAGTCTTAGCTTATGTTACTGAATGAATGACAACAATATGGGATCGATTCAATAACACAAAAGGGGAAAGCAAGAGCGCACATGCATGTGGTAGCCTGTATTAATTGTAATGTGTATAGAATAAGCTTCCTCTCAGTCTTCCTCTCAGTCACTGGAAACAGTCATAATTTCCTTCCAGACAGGCCAGAGCATCTATAACCAGGTCAGGTCTCAGGGCAGTATGACATAAGACAACAACTCCTTTAACCCGCTAATCCACAGAGGAAATTGTGACCATGGCTACTCTCAACCCTAATATGTCCCATGCTCCACCAAATTCACGGAGGGTGAGATTACATTTTCCCTGGAAAGGAGGAGCATGTGGAGGTGAGGCGGAGGGGGTCGTTTCTGCTTGACGTCTCCAGAATCCTCCTGGTTCATCCATCTGCCTCCATGATTACATGCATCTGGTCCTCCCATGGCAGCCCAGACCAAGAAATGTGCTGATAATTGGAGGCAGGGAACGATTCAAGATGGTTTTCATTAAAACCGTTAATCCTATTCTCTGTCAGGCTTCATTTTATAAGAGGCTGGCAGACTCTGGGATTTTCCTTCAGGGAATCACTTCCACCAGCGAGTCCCCCTGAAATAAACCTCTCACCATTTACACATACTCAGTTCCCCAGAAATAGTCATGTGACCCCGCACAGCTTATCATGCTCAGATTTCCCCCGTTTTCCCTCTAAAAGAAACGTAGTTATTGAACCTAACAGCACTGAGATGGAATAGTATTAAACGCAGCTTGTTCATATAATCTCCCATCCTTTCATCGATGGAAAAAAAATAACAAAGGAGAGAGAATGGGAGAATTCAACTGTTTTAATGATCTATAATTAGCGTGCTTCCGGTTCTGTGTTTATTCACTGTAGACCTTATCACTAGTACAGGAACTGATAGCGCCCATTGGCTCTCAGGAGCGTGAGCCAGTTGATATGTTGGATAAACAAGCCTCTGGGGGTTAAGGCTGGGTGCAGGGTGTGTGTGCTTATCTGTGGTGTTAAAAATCAGTACCATTTCTATTGTTCGGTCTACAGCAGCCATAGATCACTAAACTGCTACCACAGACAGGGATGTGGGTGGAGGATATGGGAAGGATGTGGAAAGAGCGGATTTTCCAGACCTGAAATAATATCCACTGTTTATTGGTATTTGATTAAGAGCACACCAGGAGATTCGTCTGTCTAAAATAGAGCAATATTTATGTTGAGTCAATCAATGAAACCACTTGGGCTTTGCTGAGCAAGAGCAGAGGCGGCAAAATAATCAAGCTGTCAGGAGGAGGTTAGCTCTATAGTTCTGTATACCCTCTTTACTATAGAATAAGGACATCATTGAGCAGTAGGTTTGTGCTGCTGACATAATTCTTTGTACAGCTCTGAAAAACAACATCTGCTGTGTTTTTATCATGTCTGCAGGAGATTAACGCCGATTGTAACTAAGTACTGTGAAATCAGAACTTTATATTGAGGGAATACTGAGGGAAAACACTGCACCATCAAATCATGAGAAGATAGAGATAGCAAAACTCTCAAACATGAAGCGAGAAATCCCTGTAATACAGCCTCTCAACAGGAGTGTATTGTGGGTAATCAAGTTTGGCTTCCAGAGCAAAGTCAAGAATGTCACACCCGGGCTCTGGGACTCTATATGTTGAGCCAGGGTGTGGTCATTCTATGTGTCGTATTTCTATGTCGGGAGTTCTAGTTGTGCTGTTTCTATGTTGGCCAGAGTGACTCCCAATCAGAGGCAACGAGTGTCAGCTGTGGCTGGTTGTCTCTGATTGGGAGCCATATTTAAACTGTCTGTTTGCCCTTGTGTTTTGTGGGATCTTGTTCGAGTTGGGTTTGTGTTTGACCGTTGACTGTCACGTTATCGTTTTCTTTTTTGTTCTGTGTCTTCACTTAATAAAGAGTAGTCGCAATGTGGTCTACTCTACGAGACGTACAGAGATCCCCAACCAGGACTCCGGAGCAGGCAGCTGACGTGGGAGCGATCTCGGAGGGTCTGGACCTGGGGAATCCTCATGGAGTTGAAGCGCGCCGAGAGAGGAGCACGCGTAATGTGTCGGAGGCAACCAAAAAATTAGGGGGGGCACAGGCATGGAACGGAACAAGGGGCGAATCAGAAGGCCACAGGTTATGGTCAAAGTAGGGAAGGAAGGTGTAGAGGCACGGCGAGAGGTACTGGGGTGTGTTACCAGTCCGGTCCGGCCCGTTCCAGATCCCGGTGTAGAGCCAGTGGTGTGTGTCCCCAGTACGGTCCGGCCTGTTCCTGCCCCTCGCACCAAGTGTACGGTGCGCGTCGCCAGCCCGGCCCGGCCTGTTCCTGCCCCTCGCACCAAGTGTACGGTGCACGTCGCCAGCCCGGCCCGGCCTGTTCCTGCCCCTCGCACCAAGTGTACGGTGCGCGTCGCCAGCCCGGCCTGTTCCTGCCACTCGCACCAAGTGTACGGTGCGCGTCGCCAGCCCGGCCCGGCCTGTTCCTGCCCCTCGCACCAAGTGTACGGTGCGCGTCGCCAGCCCGGTCCGGCCTGTTCCTGCCCCTCGCACCATGTGTACGGTGCGCGTCGCCAGCCCGGCCCGGCCTGTTCCTGCCCCTCGCACCAAATGTACGGTGCGCGTCGCCAGCCCGGCCCGGCCTGTTCCTGCCCCTCGCACCAAGTGTACGGTGCGCGTCGCCAGCCCGGTCCGGCCTGTTCCTGCCCCTCGCACCATGTGTACGGTGCGCGTCGCCAGCCCGGCCCGGCCTGTTCCTGCTCCTCGCACCAAGCCTATGGGGTGCGTCACCAGCCCGGCCCGGCCTGTTCCTGCCACTCGCACCAAGCCTACGGTGCGCGTCGCCAGCCCGGCCCGGCCTGTTCCTGCCACTCGCACCAAGCCTACGGTGCGCGTCGCCAGCCCGGCCCGGCCTGTTCCGGCCACTCGCACCAAGCCAGGGGTGCGAGTCGTCAGCCTGGTCCAGCCCGTTCCTGCCACTCGCACCAAGCCAGGGGTGCGAGTCGTCAGCCTGGTCCAGCCCGTTCCGGCTCCACGCACCAAGCCAGGGGTGCGCATCATCAGCCCGGTCCAGCCCGTTCCTGCCACTCGCACCAAGCCAGGGGTGCGAGTCGTCAGCCTGGTCCAGCCCGTTCCTGCTACTCGCACCAAGCCAGGGGTGCGAGTCGTCAGCCCGGTACGGCCCGTTCCGGCTCCACGCACCAAGCCAGGAGTGCGCATCGTCAGCCCGGTCCGGCCCGTTGCTGCTCCACGCACCAAACCAGGGGTGCGAGTCTTCAGCCTGGTAAGGCCCGTTCCTCCTCCACGCACCAAGCCAGGGGTGCGAGTCGTCAGCCCGGTCCGGCCCGTTGCTGCTCCACGCACCAAGCCAGGGGTGCGAGTCGTCAGCCTGGTAAGGACCGTTCCTGCTCTACGCACCAAGCCAGGGGTGCGTATTGTCAGCCCGGTCCGGTCCGTTCCTGCTCCACGCACCAAGCCAGGGGTGCGCGTCGTCAGTCCGGCACAACCCGTGCCTGGGTCACCGGTGCCTGATCAGGTACCGGTCGGCTACTCCACACCGGAGCTGAAGCTATCCGCACCTACTATGTCCAGTTCAGCTCCAGCCAGCGGGGCCAGATCGGACCAGGGGCGCTATGGGGGGATTATTGGAGGGTGGTGGGCAAGCCCGGAGCCAGAACCGCCGCCGAGGAGGAATGCCCACCCAGCCCTCCTCTGTTTTGTTCAAGTTGAGGCACGGTCGCAGTCCGCGCCTTTAGGGGGGGGGGTACTGTCACACCCGGGCTCTGGGACTCTATATGTTGAACCAGGGTGTGGTCATTCTATGTGTCGTATTTCTATGTCGGGAGTTCTAGTTGTGCTGTTTCTATGTTGGCCAGAGTGACTCCCAATCAGAGGCAACGAGTGTCAGCTGTGGCTGGTTGTCTCTGATTGGGAGCCATATTTAAACTGTCTGTTTGCCCTTTGTGTTTTGTGGGATCTTGTTCGAGTTGGTTTGTGTTTGACCGTTGACTGTCACGTTATCGTTTTCTTGTTTTGTTCGTGTCTTCACTTAATAAAGAAGTATGTTCGCAACTAACGCTGCGCATTGGTCTACTCCATACGACGATCGTGACAAAGAATAAGAGGTTTCTGCATTTTTCATATTAATTCCTGTCTCGTTGCCATCGCATATTACTGACCATTAGGTTTTTCACTTTACACATTAATATCATAACAGGGGTAGACCACGGAACTATAGCTATTTCTCTGCAAATTAGTTTTTATTCATAAACAGACCACACATTTTTACATAGAAATACAAACATAGATTATTCACACCCTGACCAAACTGGCTAGAGTTATATAGGCCAGGGCGTGACAGTACCCCCCCCCCCCAAAGGTGCGGACTCCGGCCGCACAAACTTGACTGAATAGGGGAGGGTCCGGGTGGGCTTCCAGCCTCGGTGGCGGCTCCGGCTCCGGAGTGGAGCCGCTGTTCGGCACCGGTGGAACGGGCACGGGCCGTGCCGGACTGGCGACGCGCCCCACTTGCTTGGTGCGACGAGCAGGAACAGGCTGGGCCGGACTGGCGACGCGCACCACTGGCTTGGTACGAGGAGCAGGAACAGGCCGGGCCGGACTGGCGACGCGCACCACTGGCTTGGTACGAGGAGCAGGAACAGGCCGGGCCGGACTGGCGACGCGCACCACTGGCTTGGTACGAGGAGCAGGAACAGGCCGGGCCGGACTGGCGACGCGCACCACTGGCTTGGTGCGAGGAGCAGGAACAGACCGGGCCGGACTGGCGACGCGCCCCACTGGCTTGGTGCGAGGAGCAGGAACAGGCCGGGCCAGACTGGCGACGCGCACCACTGGCTTGGTGCAGGGAGCAGGAACAGGCCGGGCCAGACTGGGAACACGAACCACTGGCTTGGTGCGGGGAGCAGGAACAGGCCGGGCCAGACTGGGAACACGCACCACTGGCTTGGTGCGGAGAGCAGGTACGGGGCGTACCGGACTGGGAACTCCGTCCTTTACACTCCGCGCCCCGTCCTCCTCCAGTGAGGACTCCTCCTTGAGCCCCCACGAGTGCAGTGGTCGAGGCTCCTCTCTGTCGCTCCCCGACCACCCTTTTAGCCCCCCCAAAAAATTATTAGGGCTGTCTCTCCACCCTGATCCCTTTCAGGGCCTCCATCTGCCTTGCCAGATCCTCTCTTATCTCCTGCCAGGTCCATCCTCTCTGCTCCTCCTGGGCACGCTGCTTGGTCCATTGGTGGTGGGTTTTTCTGTCCCGATCGTTCATACACGGGACGGACCAAGACGCAGCGTGAAATGCATCCATGTTTATTGAACTGAATAAACATACAAAAACAACAAAACGTGACGTCGGAAGGCTAACACTAACAAGCCACACTAACCGAACACAAACAAAAACCCACAACACAGGCAGGAAAACTGGCTGCCTAAGTATGATCCCCAATCAGAGACAACGAGCGACAGCTGCCTCTGATTGGGAACCAAACCCGGCCAAACATAGAAATACAAACATAGATTATTCACACCCTGACCAAACTAGCTAGCGTTATATAGGCCAGGGCGTGACATTTACACATAAAAGTAATCAGGAAATAGAACTTGAGCTTGGGTGGCCCTGTGTGTTATAGTCAAAAGGCCCAAATTAAATCACTCTTTAAAGGGGTAATCCGGAGTTTAAAAAATTGCAAAGTGGGTACCCCACCACTTGTTTTGGTAAACAGCTGAGGGATGGTGCTTGAGAAATATAACCACTCTCAAATTAATAGACAGAGCTATGGATGCCAGGACTGACCTGACCATCGATGAGATCAAAATGATAGTTTTAACCATGTTTGTTTACATTGACTTTGTTTACAAACATTGGAGTAAAACAAGCTTATACTTTTATTCTTTATTTTTACTATTTTCTACATTGTAGAATAATAGTGAAGACATCAAAACTATGAAATAACACATATGTAATCAAGCAGTAACCAAAAAAGTGTTAAACAAATCCAAATATATTTTATATTTGAGATTCTTCAAAGTAGCCACCCTTTGCCCTGATGACAGCTTTGCACACTCTTGGCATTCTCTCAACCAGCTTCATGAGGTAGTCACCTGGAATGCATTTCAATTAACAGGTGTGCCTTGTTAAAAGTTAATTTGTGGAATTTCTTTCCTTCTTAATGTGTTTGAGCCAATCAGTTGTGTTGTGACAAGGTAGGGGTGGTATACAGAAGATAGCCCTATTTGGTAAAAGACCAAGTCCATATTATGGCAAGAACAGCTCAAATAAGCAAAGAGAAACGACAGTCCATCATTACTTTAAGACATTAAGGTCAGTCAATACGGAAAATGTCAAGAACTTTGAAAGTTTCTTCAAGTGCAGTCGCACAAACCATCAAGCGCTATGATGAAACTGGCTCTCATGACTGCCACAGGAAAGGAAGACCCAGAGTTACCTCTGCTGCAGAGGATAAGTTCATTAGTTACCAGCCTCAGAAAATCGGCAATTAACTGCACCTCAAATTGCAGCCCAAGTAAATGCTTCACAGAGTTCAAGTAAGACATCTCAACATCAACTGTTCAGAGAAGACTGCGTGAATCAGGCCTTAATGGTCGAATTGCTGCAAAGAAACCACTACTAAAGGACACCAATAAGAAGAAGAGACTTGCTTGGGCCAAGAAACATGAGCAATGGACATTAGACCGGTGGAAATCTGTCCTTTGGTCTGATGAGTCCAAATGTGAGATTTTTTGTTCCAACCGCCGTGTCTTTGTGAGACACAGAGTAGGTGAACGGATGATCTCCGCATGTGTGGTTCCCACCGTGAAGCATGGACGAGGAGGTGTGATGGTGCTTTGCTGGTGACACTGTCTGTGATTTATTTAGAATTCAAGGCACACTTAACCAGCATGGCTATTTGAAGAATCTCAAAAATTAAATATATTTTGATTTGTTTAACACTTTTTTGATTACTTCATGATTCCATATGTGTTATTTCATAATTTTGATGTCTTCACTATTATTCTACAATGTAGAAAATAGTAAAAATAAAGAAAAACCCTGGAATGAGTAGGCGTGTCCAAACTTTTGCCTGGTACTGTATATAATTAATTTAACAGTCCAAAAATGTATGTAGCAACTGCTGATTGGTCCTTTTAAAGACTGTCTGTCTGTTTGTCAGTCCATACATTTGACATGAGATATATTCAACACCTCCATTCAGCGCAAGTGCATTATTTGGGCAATATCAAAGGGAGCTGGTTTAGTCACCTGCTGTGTGTTTTGGCAGGCCCAGGCCCCAGGCTCTCACTCAAGACCCAGACAAAGCTGGATGTTAAGCCCTCTGTAAGTGCCTGTCTACCTGCCTGGCTAACCTGGCATCATCCTGACACTGCCCAGCCCAGTGGACACACAGAGGAAATGAGAGAGGGCAAAGCAAAGCCACACACCTCAATCTAATCCATGGCTTAACATTACACAACACCCACAAACATCACCCCCAGCGGTCTAATTGAGATTATAAACCAGGTAGTTTGGATACTGGATGCTGATTGGTTAAAACAGCATTTAGCCGTGTGTATGTGAGATCATATACAGACGTTTATCCTTTTCACCTTTATCGTCACGTCGATAAAACTGCTAAATCAACAATAGCTCAACATGCAAATGTAGAAAATAAGTGTTTAGATTAACTTGAGAGAAACCGAAATGAAAATAACATCGTGAAACAAACAAAGTGGGCACTTACCTGCTTCACTGACTGGTGTGTGGAAAAGGGATACATTGTGAGTTTGGGAATACAACAAAAACGGAGCTGAGTGTCATTCTACGGGACTTGTATGGTTCAGTGAGAAACATGAATGGCGAAGAATATGGGATTAGCAGCTACACTGGACTCAAGGCTGGTTTGAACCGACATATCAACGACCCCCCGTCTCAGTCTGGCATTGAGTATACAGAAAGACACAGAATTCACAACGAGCAACAATGTGTCTGTCGGCGTAATTAAAAAGTTGAGGAAAGAGGGGCGTGACAAAGCTGCCCACCAGTGAACGGCTACATATGGTATGTAACTGTTATCTAGCTAAATCATTCTAATGTACCCTGACAATATAACTGGTAGCTATATAGGCCTAACTATTAGCTAACGTTATTTTGTCTTATGTTTCAGGTACACAAAAGAGCCGATGGGAGTGAACACCCTCGCAACAATGCTGCCAAAGATCTGCAAAATAGCTGGCCCGTCGCAGATTTACACAAACCACTGCCTTCGAACCACCATGATCCAGAAACTGTCGGATGACAGAGGCATGAGAAATACTGTATGTCAGAGGACACAGATTCGAAAACTCTCTTCAAAGTTACTGGAGGCCAAATCTGGAAGCGAGGAAGCGGTGGAACACTATTCTCTCTGACAACACAGCAGCAGCTCCCCCAGTTAAAAGAACGGCATCCATTTCCAGCAGCGTGGAGCCAACAAACGACAACATGGGCAAGCCAACAACAAACGTTAACATGGGTCAATTTTTCTATTCGTGCACAATAAATGGTAACATTCAGATCAACATTAATAAATAATTGGCATGTGTTAGTCACTCTAGAAGTGGCGCTAAGCTCGGTTTTTGCATACATTTAATGTAAGCTTGCTACCTAGCCTGTGGTTGTTGCATAGCAACCAGTCTAGCAACGAGTATTTTGTCCGGACTACTTTTTCTGGCGGAATCTATTTATTATGAATTTATTTATTAAAGCAACATTTTCAATTTAGTTGTGTAGTTCCTTGCCTTACTGTGTTGGCAACCAGTTTATAAAAGCAATAAGGCACCTCGGGGGTTAGTGGTATATGGCCAATATACCACGGCTTAGGGCTGTATCCAGGCACTTCGCGTTGCGTTGTGCGTAAGAACAGCCCTTAGCCGTGGTATATTGGCCATTTACCACACCCCCTCTGGCCTTATAGCTTAAATAGCTGAGAGAAAAAACCAATCACTTATAAACCCCCAAATATCCTGTATTTACTGGAGGGTATCAGAGTTGCAGCCCAGTCCTCATAGGTTTGGTGGTAAAATATAGATTGAAGTACGGAAGCTGTCTGTCTGAAACAAACTCCAATACAGATGCTGTGGTATGTATGAGGATGTGAACCATGCTCTGAAAGCCTGTTTCATTGTTTCATCATTCATGTTTTTTCCGGCTCTTCTGTTATATTGCACAACTTCCAAACATTGCACCATTTGATCAACGTCAATGCTGCGGTGAGAGATCTTGGCGTTCCCACTTACAACCACACCTACCCACCCACACCTGAAACTACAAAACAAGCAGGAGTTGCCAAATGAAGGGAAGGATTGGCGTGTCGTCTTACCTCGTAGTGTGTGTTTGTTAGGCCACAGGAACCATGGCAGTAGCAGCAGGTAGAGCAGGTAGACCAGAGACAGACCATTGTAGCGAAACAGGCAGGCTGGGGACACACAGAGGGACACAGAGGTCAGAGGACAGGCACAACACAGACAAACATTACAGTCAATGACTACTACACAGCAATATTTCTGAGTGGTTGAATGATCTAGGTACAAATCTGTGAATTGAGGTCATCAACAAGTCTCCCTGACACCCTCTGACCCTTGTATTGGTTTGTAACCGCATGCCTCACACAACCACACACACCTCCCTTACTGGAAAACAGTGGAACATCTAATGAGTTTACATACAGGCAGGGCTCTCTCCTGTCCCTGTGAAAGTTGCAGGGCTGGACTGTGTGAACAGTAACACAGTGCTGGATGGCAAGCCAACCGTGGCCTGCTCTGCACTAAATATTGCTTTAATAATGCTGATTGATTATTATTATGCTGATATTACACCAGACCCTGTGATTATCCAGGCATAAGCTTGTTACTCAGCCTGTGTTCAGTGAACTAGCTAGCTGCTGGTCATTTGAGCGGCTGCCAGGGGACACGAGGGCTTTCCAGGGCTGCCTTCACACCCCCTCTTCTCTCTCCTCTTCCCAGCTGAGCTCTGAGACTGGAAGGGGGAGCTGGGAGCCCAGCGCTCTGATCCCCTGTGCTGTGCTCTGCCCCTTGGGCTCTGGATCCTAACCAGGCCTTTTTTTTATTTTATTTTTTTATTTTTTTATTTAACCTTTATTTAACCAGGTAAACCAGTTGAGAACAAGTTCTCATTTACAACTGCGACCTGGCCAAGATAAAGCAAAGCAGTGCGATAAAAACAACAACACAGAGCTACATATGGGGTAAAACAAAACAAAGTCAAAAATACAACAGAAATACATATATATACAGTGTGTGCAAATGTAGCAAGTTATGGAGGTAAGGCAATAAATAGGCTATAGTGCAAAATAATTACAATTAGTATTAACACTGGAATGATAGATGTGCAAGAGATGATGTGCAAATAGAGATACTGGGGTACAAATGAGCAAAATAAATAACAATATAGGGATGAGGTAGTTGGGCGGGCTAATTTCAGATGGGCTGTGTACAGGTGCAGTGATCGGTAAGGTGCTCTGACAACTGATGCTTAAAGTTAGTGAGGGAGATAAGTGTCTCCAGCTTCAGAGATTTTTGCAATTTGTTCCAGTCATTGGCAGCAGAGAACTGGAAGGAATTGCGGCCAAAAGAGGTGTTGGCTTTGGGGATGACCAGTGAGATATACCTGCTGGAGCGCAGACTACGGGTGGGTGTTGCTATGGTGACCAATGAGCTAAGATAAGGTGGGGATTTGCCTAGCAGTGATTTATAGATGGCCTGGAGCCAGTGGGTTTGGCGACGAATATGTAGTGAGGACCAGCCAACAAGAGCGTACAGGTCACAGTGGTGGGTATTATATGGGGCTTTGGAGACAAAACGGATGGCACTGTGATAGACTACATCCAATTTGCTGAGTAGAGTGTTGGAGGCTATTTTGTAAATGACATCGCCGAAGTCAAGGATCGGTAGGATAGTCAGTTTTACGAGGGCATGTTTGGCAGCATGAGTGAAGGAGGCTTTGTTGCGAAATAGGAAACCGATTCTAGATTTAACTTTGGATTGGAGATTCTTAATGTGAGTCTGGAAGGAGAGTTTACAGTCTAACCAGACACCTAGATATTTGTAGTTGTCCACATACTCTAGGTCAGACCCGTCGAGAGTAGTGATTCTAGTCGGGTGGGCGGGTGCAAGCAGCGTTCGGTTGAAGAGCATGCATTTAGTTTTACTAGTGTTTAAGAGCAGTTGGAGGCTACTGAAGGAGTGTTGTATGGCATTGAAGCTCGTTTGGAGGTTTGTTAACACAGTGTCCAATGAAGGGCCAGATGTATACAAAATGGTGTCGTCTGCGTAGAGGTGGATCTGAGAGTCACCAGCAGCAAGAGCGACGTCATTGATATACACAGAGAAAAGAGTCGGCCCAAGAATTGAACCCTGTGGCACCCCCATAGAGACTGCCATAGGTCCAGACAACAGGCCCTCCGATTTGACACATTGAACTCTATCTGAGAAGTAGTTGGTGAACCAGGCGAGGCAGTCATTTGTTAAGAGTCCTGCCACAACCATCCTTCTCACAGCGTTTCATCCTCACAACCAACTCTCATCTGGCCCTCTGGGTCTGCCCCACAGTAACCTAAAGTAGCAGGCGTAAAAGAAACGCCTGAGCAGGGTCGGCAGAATCCAGAAGCATCTGGTTTTCAGGCTTCACCTCTTCTCTGCTTTTCCCCTGAAAAGCGGATGCTTCTGGTTCAGACCGACCCCGCTGAGGGTGGCCCCACAGAGACCCTGCAGGGAAACACTGCACTGCACAGTGTCCACAGCTGACTGCTGCGAGCCCACCCAACACATCACAACATATCCACCATAATAATGCCTTGCAGTCAGTCACTGTACCCAGTACAGTACTGTGTCCCAGATCCTCAGGCCTCCACCCCGGCCTACAGTCTGCTATAGATCTATAATTAACACAACCAGCATGGGAGAACAAAGACAGGCTTTGTCCTATAAGTGAGAGTCAATGAGCTAGCTAGCGTGTGGCGCACAGCGCTGTTTGTACTAAGGATTTCACTGGCCCACTCGAGGGAGCCTTTCTATTAACTCTGGCTTAATTGTTAGCGAAATGGAGTCCCCCACTGGTACAACTTAAACAGCTCTCACGCTCTCCTTCTTTCATGTGGATCATATAGGAACAACATATATTTTTATATAACACACGTGCAAAATGTAAAGTGTCATGTGCAGTGTAATGTCTTTAGCAAACTCACAGTGGCAGAGAACCTGCCAATGATCCTGAGGATGGACCAGTTAGGCTGACAACATTGGCTGAGGGGCGAATGACTGCGAGTTACTGTTTTGACTTAATGTATATATTCCCATGGTTACCTCACCCTCGCATGACATAATGGGTGTGACATGAGCTAATGCTGGGTTTCACAAACTCGGTCCTGGGGCCCCCCTGCGTGCACGTCTTGTTTTTTGCCGTAGCACTACACAGCTCAATCAAATAAGCAAAGCTTGATGATGAGTTGGTTATTTGAATCAGCTGTGTAGTGCTGGGGGTGGGGCCGAGTTTGGGAAACCCTGAGCTAATGGACAGAAAAATAAATTACATTTGTATTCCCTCTTCTCAGATGGGCTGATAAAAGTGACAAAATTGACTGTGGTTTACTGGGTCGCTAGTCTCCGCCCAGCCAAGAGTGAGGTCCACCTCAGAATGTGTGTGATTCAAGTTCATCTTTTCAACACTGAGGGACCACGACCACAGACTGCTGCAGGGCTGCTGTGAGGTTTTATGGTCAAAGACCAGCAGTCCTGTGTCTGTCTCTAATCAGCTGGTTCTGGATCAGAGGGTGAGGTCATCAGCTTCTCATCACACAATCAACAAGCTTCGACAGAGAGCAGAGGGGGGAAATGCCCCTAGTCTACTCTTAGTATACTGTCAATCTGTGCTGCTAAAAGGAAGGGTAGTAAGAGCTTTTTCCTTTCTATCAATCCCTCTCTCAGTCATTGAATCTCAAGCATGCTCACTCGCATGTGCACACACACACACTCGTACACACGCACTAAACCAGCCGGTGACACAGTGCAGAAAAATGGGTCGCAACTCAACTGAAGCAAGGAAAAGTTAAAACAGTGTGAGAAGTTCATCCTGCGTTTCCTTCTGTCTTTCCATCTCCCTTCATCCGTCTCTCTGACTGTCTGGCTGTCTGTTTACCTCCTCTGTAGCGTAACCACAGTGTTTCCATTCCCCTGCCTGCCTGCCCGCCTACCTGAGCAGCTACACTACACTACCTATTGCACCCAACTAGGAAAGTAGAGGTCAGCAAATCAGGAGTACTATAAGTCAGGGGCTTTATACTGTATGGACAGTGTCCACTTTTCAATTACTGAAGACTCTCCTTGTTAACAATCAATGTTGAGATGAGCGGCTGGGAGAAGGAGCAGTATTAGACGTTCTCAAACAAACACGCTTTCACACACACGCACACCAAACATCTGTCAATCAGGTGTGGCGTGAGTGTGACAGACAGAGTACTGAGCTCAGGGATCCTGTGGTGCAGAAACAGAGCGAAATGCCCATGTGATCAAGGGGGATATGAGCCATCCGGAGAGAGAGAGCGAGAGAGAGGAAGAACCCACTCCTCGAAAAGCAGCTGTACTGGAACTGTCCACTACCTCACTCTGTTGTTGCTACAAGGTCAAAGCCCTAACATCCCAGCCTAGACTCCCACCACCAACGACTCTAAATAGCAGAGCCCATAGACTCTCAAACTATGCATCGGATAGATTCAGGAAATTATGGTAATTGAGATTGGAAAAACCAACAGCATGCCGCAGAGCTGGGGTCGTGACGCACCTCTGAGGAACACACTCGGAGTGTGTGTGTCCCAGCTTGGTCTGTGCCCTGTGCAGAGTCAAACACGGTGAAAAGCTGGTCTCTTATGCCCAGGCCCTTCTGATGTATGCTCTATGGTAAAACACCTTTGGACTCAGTCTACCCTCACTGTACCTGGCTCATTTAGAGGTGCCATTTATACTCAGCAGACATCACACTGAATTAAGTCTCAAGCTCTAATTTGTCTTTAATAAATCTGCCAATGTTTGCCCTCAGAGTTGCATAGCTACTTCTGGGAACTGTGTGTCTCTGGAGCACATCTCACCACCAAAATCCATTTCAATATCATTCCTCTTTATTAGAGAAAATATTAAGAGTGGTTGTTTCTTGAGGGTCTTGATCACTGTCAATCCTTTACCATACCAAACCATGGACCAAACTACTGACAGAATTATGCATTGCAAACGGCAAAGACTAACAGACTTGTTACACCTTACTCTCTCAAATATCTTACCATTACATCGTTGTAGACTCAACAGTAGTCTAATCCTTAACGTCAATTGACAGTCACACTTCATATATACAACACCCAGTCCAACTCCTGGCCAAAGAGGCCCTATGTTTCCCATCTGGCATGTCATTGTTTTATAGCTCCTGTGTTGACTGAGGGAGGAGATGTGGACTCTTTAGCTCCACTGACTTACAGTCAGGGACTCTCCTGTATTGAAATGTTCTTGGGCTTTGGCAGTTTTTCCTCAACTTTAGGTTGTTTACTGTACGGCAAATAGAAAGGTCTCCACAGAGTAATCCTGCTAAGCTGACTGAACATAAACCTGCAATGGAAGAACACTGAAGAGAGCTGACCTTTTACACACAGGTGGTTTTCATTTTCTGGTGGACACTCAAATGTCATCATCTACATTTGTTTTAACTGTATGGGCCTGTCTGTAAAGCAGTTTATCCCACATCAGCTTTAGATCAGCAGTGAATCATCTCAGATCACAGTTTTCGGTGTCTGCTGCCAGGGCCAAATCTGATTAAAAGCCGTTTCCAATGTGCGTAATTGCCACAGGTCATGAGCAACACACTCACAGTGGATCTGTCTAATATCAGAGCTAATGGATCGCAATTCTTTCCACCCTCCAGGCAATTACAGTGTTTTCAGTGTAGTGGTGCTTCTGAAAACACGTAGCAAGGCAGTGACTGTGACAAGCAGCGCCCCAGAGAAACCAACCCAGTCAGTTGAAGGCTCCTCTCACTCAGACAAAGCAGTGCTTTGACAAATAATAAGAGGCAGTGGCGCCAATATGATCTCTGCACTCCGCTGCAGCTTGCCTTCCCTGGTAGTGTGGCCAAATGCCTGTTTATCAGATGGGCAGACTTCCAGTTTTCAAGTCAAGGCAGAGGCACAGCAACATGACAGTGTCACCAAATGTAACATGAGAGCAAGAAAATGAAAGACCTAAGGAATGTCCTACGACAAGGCAGGCACACCACAAAACACTGTCAGACAATGTCAACAGAAAGTGCCACGAGACTGCAGCTCACGTGCATCCAGAATAGAGCTACCCCACCGCAGAAACACTACACACAACACACAACCCAGACGGTTCATGGCAGCCACATCAAAGGCAATTGAAAATGACAAATAACCTTTAGAAAACGGACGGAGGAGGTTGAGAAAGCGAGGGAAAACATAAGCGAGGCCAACTGCGATCACTCGGTTGGGTCTGTGAGCATGTGCGCCTGCCTGCATGCCCGGCCCAGTGAAGCCAACAGCTACAGGACTCCAGGGGCCCATAGCTGGCCCTCACAGTGACCTCACTCTACAGGTATGTGAACACAGCCCAGTCCTGCACGGGTCACAGAGACAGGAAGAGAGACGGCTGGAGAGGGAGAGGGGGGAGGGTAGGAGAGAGAGGAACAAAGAGACAAATGGAAAGGAAGAGCAAGGGGAAAGGGAGGATATAAAGAGAGGGGGAGGTGGGGGAGTGAGAGAGAGAGATGATATGGGAGAGGAGTGGGTGAGTAAGCGTCTTGGATGAGCCAAGTGGGTAAAGGGTAGTGAGAGGAGGGATAGATACTGGAACATGGAAACATCTTCCATCTTCTGAATAAACAGAAGGGTGCTGTTCTCAAGCAAAACATCTGGGAAACTCTAAACTGGTAACCGTGTAACCGTCCTTGTCAACAGTGGCTATGAGTAATCCTGCACTATAATTTGCGCTATTAACTGGAATAACTATGACGCTCAAAAAAGACAACACTATATCAATGTCTACATGTTAAAGTTTGTTAAGCACAGAATGATCCTGAATGCAATCTTAGGTTTCTTTCCAATTCATCATGATGTCCTGGTTCTTAGTGGGTGTAATTGCAGTCATAAAGATTTTGGCTACATAACACAAGGTGGTCAGATCTCTCCAATATCATGTATAGTTCTGAATGACATATAGATCCCTCACAGAAGTTGAGTGGATTATGTATGTATCTCTCATACAGCGGTGCGGGTTTAATGGGTCTCTATAGATCCCTGTGATTCCTCCTGACTCTTTGGCTCTGGTTAGAATGAGTCACACAGAGGTCTTCCATTGGAGCGGTCCCAGATCTGCCGTCTCTAACATGTCTTGTGTTTTCACTACTATACAGCTGGACGGACTCTTATTCAACTCACCAGTGGAAAGTACCCTAACTGGGCTCACTACCCACTCATACTGATCCTATTATTCTGCTGGAGTGCGTGGCTGAAGAGAAAGGGGTTTAAGGGGAAATGTAGGGAGCAGTTTTCCATAGACACCCCAGTGTTCCATGATGTCAGCTGAACTCGGGGAGAGAAACAATGGCTCATGGAAGCCATTAAGTGATCAACTGCGTGTTTAAATAGGACCCGATCTCCATACGGACAGTGAGGCGATCAGCTAATGTGGACGGCTTTATGTGATAATAAAAATAAAATGGCCAGTCTGGATGTGACAGGGCTTTGACTGTTTTACATGCTCTAATGCACCTCTCCGGTACAGTGGGGAAAAAGACACATCCACAGTTTTGGAGCCACGGCTTAAAACCATATGGTAGCGGCTCTAGCTTGCCTTCTGATTGCCATATTGCGGTATAGCCTACCTATCCAATCCATTCATATCTACTAGGGCGAATGGGTTGTTCCTGGACTGAGACTGGCCCAGGGAGCCTGACTGATCCCAGCTCCTCTGTTCTGATGGAGAGAGGAGAGGGTGGGGAGCCAGAGCCAGGGCAGCTCTCCCAGCCAGACACAGAGCTGGCTTATAGGGGTGAGTTGGGAGAGACAACCCCTCCCTGGAGCGTAGGCTGTGAAGGGCTTCCAGGACGTTGAATCCCATGCCAGCTGCTAAAGCCTATAGATCTGGCAGGCCTGCATGAGGCCTACAGCCAGAGACAATCCCCCTTCCTCTGTCTTTCCCACACACACACTGCACACACTGTATGCTCAAATACTGAGCTTCCCACAGTTGTGAAAGACATTAAACGAAAATCTTCCTGTGTGCCTGTGCGGAATTGGAAAATAGAAAGCAAGGAGAACTGAGAATCTGGAAGCAACCAGCCCTCCTGTCAGTGTCTGTTCCTGGAGAACTAGCGGCCACTCTGACCTCCATTCTCGATCATTTTGATGTTTCCAAACAGACAAATTCCTTTCCACAGACAAGAGTTAATTTACTTCACTCGAAAACGTTCCAGTTTCTGCATGCTATAACTGTTAACATTTCAGAAAGAGAGAGAAAGTCAAGAATCATAACATGCCCTTAAGAGTCACAAAAAAGCCATTCATGTGTGATCCGCAGGACAATAGTAGGGCCTAAACAGAGACAACTAGACAAAACGAAACAAACCAGAACAAAGGAAAGGAACTTTGTCAACTAGAATCACTCTCTGAAAGACACCTTGCCGCAGGAATGAAAGCTTCACAAGGCCCATTGAGTATGCGTGGGTGTGTGAATAAGAAATTGGGAACTTGAGCTGCCCTCCTGGGTAAAATATGGAGACTCATATATTCACTCATATAACTAACTGTAAGTCGCTCTGGATAAGAGCGTCTTCTAAATGACCCCCCCAAAAAATAAATAAATAATAACCTACTGAAACCTGAGAACATTTCTCAACAAATATCAAAATCCTAACAAAGTCAAATCCTAACAAATTAGCTGGCATGGCAAGAAGTGCATGCTGCCAAGTCAATCTCTATTCATTGGTCATGCACATTGCAGCTCTATGAAACAATGCTCATTCTTCAATCCTCTAAACAATCACTTCCCCTTTGGTTTCCCTTCCCTCCATGATGGGTGAAACTGTTCTACTACTGTGCCAGCAGACTGGTCTCATAGATTAGACGTAACATAGTAAATGTAAATCCGAGACACTCAAATTAGTATGATATGTTATGTTTGGTATGGTTACATAAGACAGAAGGTTACTTCAAACAAAAATGAAAGTAGGGTTAGTTGGTCAGGGTGGATGGGTATAACGCAAACGTCTAGCAACCCAAAGGTTGCGTGTTCGAATCTCATCACGGACAACTTTAGTTACTTACTACTTTTTAGCTACTTTGCAACTACTTAGCATGTTAGCTAAACCTTCCCCTAACCCTAACCTTAACCCTTTTAGTTAACCCTTCCCTAACCTTAACCCTTTTAGCTAACCTTTCCCTAACCCTAACCTTAACCCTTTAACCTAACTCCTAACTTTAACCCTAATCCCTATAGCTAGCTAACGTTAGCCACCTAGCTAAATGTTAGCAACAACAAATTGGATTTCATAACATATCGTAATAATTGCTATTTGTAACATATCATACGAATTGTCATTCGTAACATATCATACGAATTGTAATTCGTAACATATCAAACTAATTGTAATTCGTAACATATCAAACTAATTGTAATTCGTAACATATCAAACTAATTGTAATTCGTAACATATCATACGAATTGTAATTCGTAACATACCATACGAATTGTAATTCGTAACATACCATACGAAATGGATGATGGAGATCCACAAATGAATACATACCATACGAAACGTAGCATATCATACTAAATGGAGTGTCTCCGATTTATGTACAGAATAATACGAAATACTCTGAGACCACTTTGGTGCCAGGGGAGGAAACAGCCCTGAGATAGAAGTTTTGCCCTTAAAATAGAAAATATGCATCTAATACATGCCCCTTTCAAACACTATGAATATTTCCATTAGTATGAATGTAGTATCTTGTGACAAACAGCCAGGTCTGCCCTTTGTAGGTCTGAATGGCCATGCGGTGCTCAAGCGGGGGGGTATTACTATTTCTGCATACATAATAACCCATCTATCATCCTGTTCTAAAGGGTAAAAATGAACACCACTCTCCACCTATCTGTGGGAGACTTCTCCACCCGACGGACACATAGAGCAAAGGCGTGCGCCATGTGGCCCGAGAAGATAACGGAGCTAGCCAAGCAACCTGAACAGACCTTCACTCTTTCACTTCACTCCATCCCTCTCCTTTCTATCTTTAACAGTAAAGGCGGCTTAGGCTCTGAGACCATGTGTGAGGAAGATATTGCACCACCATCTCAATTCAGATCCAGAACTCAAGCAGCGCAGTCAGACGATGAAGCAATTTTCCATTAAATGGCCCATAACAAAAGTAGCATTCAGCGTGAAAAACAGAATGTGGACCCTGTCGTAAAAGTCAGACGGCATTTTGATATGCCCAGCTCTCATCTCAGCCTGCAGCCTGCTCTTTAACACTTTACAGTCCTCTCTCTCTCTCTCTCTCTGTACTCTGCCCCTCTCATCATCATCTGATGCCTGCCTGCCTCCCCTGACAAACAGGGAGATCAGGGTCAGATCATTACGAGAGGCATTTTGTAATCCCGTTACTGGAGGAATCGAAAGTAAAAAGCACAAGGCTTGTCAGGGCAAGTGTGTGAGGAATGCTTACACAGAGGCATAATCTAACACGTTGCATGGTGTGAGTTTTAGCTTGTAGCTCCCACTTGGCTGTCATTTCTTCTTTGGGAGTTTGCTAGGCCATATGGCCTAGTTACAGTTGTAAGAAGTGATGTAACACTTTGAAGAGCAACATGAGAACTAAACCACTCTACAGTTTCTTTTGAAATTCGGAAGAAGAACTAAGCTTTCCCTACAGTGTTCCCTTACAGACTAGCCCCAGTCAGGTTAAAAACCAAGAATGCAGAATAACTATGACTGGACAAAACACAATGAATACTATTAGGTATTACTACCCATGCCGTTTGAACCAACGTACATCATCACACAAACATAGGAGCACCTACAGTACATATTATCCAAACTAGTGCCCTTAACCTCAGCGTTTTCACCTTTGTACTCCAAGGTAAGTCAAGGTATTCATTTCAAAAGAAATATATGGATGTTAGCAATTTACATTTTCAGAGATCAATTAAAGAGACAAATCCTTTCCATTGCAACAGACAGCCTAATACTTCGCTTGACACCTCTATAATAGCTTAACATTGAATTGGATTTAGAGCTGTTGAAATGCTCATCATTCATTCCCATGAAGAGGAGATGAGATGGAGTGGAAGATCATGGTGAGACCTTAACCCCATAAGTGTATCACTGTCACTTACACTACTGGTCAAAAGTTTTAGAACACCTACTCATTCAAGGGTTTTTCTTTATTTTTACTATTTTCTACATTGTAGAATGTTAGTGAAGACATCAACACTATGAAATAACACATATGGAATCATGTAGTAACCCAATTCTTTTTAAACAAATCAAAATGTATTTTATATTTGAGATTCTTCAAATAGCCACCCTTTGCCTTGATGACAGCTTTGCACACTCTTGGCATTCTCTCAACCAGCTTCATGAGGTAGTCACCTGGAATGCATTTCATTTAACAGGTGTGCCTTCTTAAAATGTTAATTTGTGGAATTCCTTTCCTTCTTAATGCGTTTGAGCCAATCAGTTTGTGTTGTGACAAGGTATTATTATGGCAAGAACAGCTCAAATAAGCAAAGAGAAATGACAGTCCATCATAAATTTAAGACATGAAGGTCAGTCAATATGGAACATTTCAAGAACTTTGAAAGTTTCTTCAAGTGCAGTCGCAAAAACCATCAAGCGCTATGATGAAACTGGCTCTCATGAGGACCGCCACAGGAATGGAAGACCCAGAGTTACCTCTGCTGCAGAGGATAAGTTCATTAGAGTTACCAGCCTCAGAAATTGCAGCCGAAATAAATGCATTCAAGTAACAGACACATCTCAACATCAACTGTTCAGAGGAGACTGCGTGAATCAGGCCTTCATGGTCAAATTGCTGCAAAGAAACCACTACTAAAGGACACCAATAATAAGAAGAGACTTGCTTGGGCCAAGAAACACGAGCGATGGACATTAGACCGGTGGAAATTTGTCCTTTGGTCTGGAGTCCAAATTTGAGATTTTCGGTTCCAACCGCAGTGTCTTTGTGAGACGCGGTGTTCGTGAACGGATGATCTCCGCATGTGTATTTTCCACCATAAAGCATGGAGGAGGTGGTGTTATGATGTGGGGGATGCTTTGCTGGTGACACTGTCTGTGATTTATTTAGAATTCAAGGCACACTTAACCAGCATGGCTACCACAGCATTCTGCAGCGATACACCATCCCATCTGGTTTGGGCTTAGTGGGACTATCATTTGTTTTTCAACAGTACAATGACCCAACACACCTCCAGGCTGTGTAAGGAGTGATGGAGTGCTGCATCAGATGACCTGGCCTCCACAATCCCCCGACCTCAACCCAATTGAGATGGTTTGAGATGAGTCGGACCGCAGAGTGAAGTAAAAGCAGCCAACCAGTGCTCAGCATTTGTGGGAACTCCTTCAAGACTATTGGAAAAGCATTCCAGGTGAAGCTGGTTGAGAGAATGCCAAGAGTGTGCAAAGCTGTCATCAAGGCAAAGGGTGGCTACTTTGAAGAATCTCAAATATAAAATATATTTGGATTTTTAACACTTTTTTGTTTACTACATGATTCCATATGTGTTATTTCATAGTTTTGATGTCTTCACTATTATTCTACAATGTAGAAAATAGTAAAAAAATAAAGAAAAACCCTTGAATGAGTAGGTGTTCTAAAACTTTTGACCGGTAGTGTACATGTCATTGGAAACCAGAGTGGGCTGAGTTACAGTGAGAAGACCCTTCAAATGCGTCATCCATCCATGGGTCTAGGGCCCCTCAGCCATATAGCAGTTACTGTTATTATCAATATTAGTGCCAGAGATAAGAGACAGCTCTCATATAGCTCAGACTCAGCAGCAAGCTGTAACACAATGTCCAATATTCATAACTATGTAGACAGGCAGTGTTATAAATGTCTGTCATATCACACAATCACCACTTCATTAAAACAGTTTCAAAAAATCAAATAAGGTTTTTATGAGCTATATGCTCTAGAATAAATAATAGAAGCTATAGAATGGTGGAGAAAGTCTTTGATCTAAATTTAAAACTTTGAAATGAAAAAAGAGATGCCTGCCTGCCAAGCAGATAAATTAACCAACTGTAATATCATCTTGCTTAAAGATGTGTTATAAAGGTGTTTTATCATTTCAGACAGTAGTTTTGAAAATAGCGCTCACAAG